TAAAGAGCGCACATCATCCAGCGGAGAAAAAAGTCCATATAGAAATTACAGCGAGACAACAAAGAGACGCCACAGGAGTCATAAATGACGAGCTCATACTGGTTACAGGTTCATCAGAGCTTTTTTCTCCTCGTGGACACGTGCAGTAGGGGAGCTTTCCAGACAATGGCAGTGGAGGCGCCAAGTGGTACGTGCCACAGGCTCGATTTGGGATTTACTCCATTAATATTTGCACTCTCGCACCGCATCAGTCTCTCCCGCCGACGTCAAGCCAACCCCCATTTTGCCTCCCCGCACACGAGTGGCGGAAAAATGGCCAAAGTCTCAATGATGATGATTCATAGGAAAGCCACTTCTTCTGTTTGTTGTCATGCCGTGGACAAAGGAAGTGAGTAAAGAATTTTTCCAATGAAATTCATACACCACCACTTGTGATTTCCCGTGAAATTGCCTGGCACGAAGGCGAAATGCACAAAACTCAAGCTGTACAACATGTTCTTTGTTGACACAGTCTCGGCGCCATTGATTTCGCATCATTTCTGCTGATAGTGATTCATTGTAAATTCACACGAAATGAGCTTTAGTACACATTGTCAAATTTACAGTCACACGGAAAGTACTTGACGAGCAATAAATGAGGAATATTGGGGCCGTCGTGAGGTGGTGAAGAGAGAGAAAAAAACTGTTGAAATGAGACTGATGGCCACCAAAATAACTCAATTATCGCAAAAGTTGCTGTTAAAAATGCATAAAGTCAAATGTACATAAAATGCTCGACACTTTTACACAAATTTCAGCGTTATATTGCACTTTTTATTGGTGTTGATTGCATTAAAGCAAAAAGTCGTTGGAAAAGGTATGCGCTCACGGGCACAACTAAATGATCTACTCGTGATTAATTTTGGAAACCGTGCCTAAAAAGGTACTTTACATGGACTCTTCCGCACTTAACTGCCCATTAAGAGCATATAATGTTGAAATATTTTAATTTTACTATGAAATTAAAGAAATAATAACGAATATTTGTGGATTTTGAAAGCAATTATCGCCGCGAGGGAGTCATTTATTTTATTCCATTCAGAAAACATTCATGACGACTTGGCCTGATGAATTCGGAGTCTGCTTAACAGGACTCTGCACGAGCGATTATCTTTCCCCAACATTAAGATCACTTAAGATCTGCATATTTGTGAAAATTCTTCCAATGCAATATACAGCTTAAGAGGCAGTAAATCTTTGGCGTGAAATTTGGGCTACAGGTTGCCACCAATAAAGTGTGTAGCGAAACGATATTTCGACGGCGTATAAAGCTTTATGAGTACACGTGTAAGTATCTTCTCGGATGCAATAAATCCGCATGAGATTGATAAACCCCTCAATCATGTGAGGCACGAAGGTAACTCTCTCTCCGGTTGCCATGACACGCGACAGTCATCCAGCGCTCTTGAGCTCCCCAATGTCGGCGAGGAGCCTTTGGTCGGTATAATAAACGGCTCCATCGAGGTAATTGGCGGGCGTGGTGTCTGTCCCAGTGGATATTCCTACAATTTCACACATTTATATTTACTTGCATCCCTTATCCCAGCCTTTCGCGCGAATTCCTCCGCGGAGAATCTTCTGAGAAGTGTAGCAGAGCAGATATTTGGCCCCTGCCCGAAACTGGCGATGTGTATAGAATTGAGGTAGGAAGAGGCAGGATGGATAACATGAGACTTATAGATGAAGGAATTCAAAAGACAAAAACGTAATTTATTGCAACCAACAAGCCAACGCGAATCGAGTGTCCATTTCGTTGCGGAGTTATGATCAAATATAATTGCTCTAGAGTGTAATTAATTGACTTCCTGATGAACATAAACGGAGGAGTGTGAGTGTGGCTAAGAAAAAATCCCACCTCTCGACAAAGAGATCAGCTCAAATCGCCGTGAGTGAGCGAAATGGATTGAGTCCGTGGAGTGTGCGGAATATTTTTGTGCAAAGGAATTACACATCTTAAGTGTTATGCTTAGAGAGACTGGCAAAAAAAATGCGCAAAAATCACCGACGTGGATGAATGTTTTATGTGAGAAGCCAGGCCACAGTCCAGAGACACCATCAAACACTTATTAAATCATCTTGAGAAATAGATTCTGCAAAAAAAGTCCCCTTTTCCAATCTGTGTGCAGCCGTGTCTGGAAAATTTTCGGCTCGCAAATCCGCGCAAATCTCACAGCTATTGGCTTTGCACAATAAACGTAACGAGACGCGAATATATTCGCCATGCCCTCCCCATCATCATTCTTGTGCCTCTTAGATTGCTCCCATCTAACACTACAATGCTTCTTCGTCGCTCGGGAGCAAATGAAATCTTCCCATTCTGCACTCATATCTACATAGTGCTCACAATACACTGGCTGGACTGACGAAACGCCAGACTGAGCCGCAATCCCAACAGCATCAGCATCAGGCGGCAGCAGGAATTGAGCATTTGAGGTCAACGACTGCGGTCGAGGTGAATATGTTTCTAAAATATCGCCTCGCGAGTGAGTGAGATGGATCGACAGATACCTAGTATATCTACTGACCTTGCCAATTCGTGGAATCGCGTTCATTTGCCCAAAACGCGCGCGCACACACAACGTCCGCGAGAATTGAAAGAAGTGTATATGATATGAAAAAAAGAATTTCGCACACGTTTTTGGCCAAGAGTAGAGAGGAGAGAGAGAGCTTTATCTCTTCGGTTCAGCCATCAAACATCCTCCTCGTGAGCGCACACAGCATTATTTGGCAGCATTGAGAGACACACACACACACACCACACAGTGTGGCCAAAGGCAGGGAGATGGTCATAGAAGAAGAAATCAATCAAAGTGTCTTACAATCCAAATATTCCACCTTCTTTCTCCTCTTCTCGTGATCCGTGATCTCTTCACCCATGCCCAGAGAGATCATTGAATTTTGTCTCCATTGTTTCCATCACATCTCGCGCTCCGTCTTTTTTCCACCTCGCAGCATTTTGCCAATTAAATTACATTTTCAGCGGACAATGGTATTAGACACCTCACGCGCAAAAAATTCGCCATTTCATATTTCTCAAGACGCACAGAGAGATCGCCAAGAATTTCCGAATCGGATGGGATAAATATCGCGAGGTGGATCGCAATTTAATCGATCTCTCTTGAGACTTTCTGAAGCATAGAAAAAGAGTCGACTTGGACAAAAAGCCGGTCTAAATATAGAATCTAGCGAAACAAAGAGATCGCACGGCATTTTTGCACTATTCCTCACCATCGCACATTCGGCCATGTAATTGCCAAATTGTCCAATTCATATGAATCAAAATCATATTTAGTTCAGAGAACCAGGATGTTGTATCAAAGACAGAGAAGTATTGGGCAAGAAAAAGGTGAATTGGCGCAATAGTTTTAGGTCAACAGGATAGAGAGTCACACAAATTGAATTCACATTCAGACCAAGAAAGTGAATAAAACAGATAAATCTTCTCAATTTCAAGGCAGTCGTCTGAGATAAAGTTGCAGAAAAAAGTCAAGTCTGCGGCCGTCGGAGTTGCAGGTTTCCAGCATTAAGTGGTAGTTTCCAAGTTCTTTTTTCGCCAAAAAATAATTTTTGAAATACGCAGAAAAAAGACGTGAATGAGTAAGCAAGTAAGCCATCTAACAAAGCTGCGATGACCTTAAATTTTTAAGCTTTGTTTCAACACAATGACATTATAGTTTGAGATTTCTTGTTCGCCAGATAGACACATTGCATTTTGCCAAGCGGAGACAAAGGATCTAATAATCAAATAAAGGGACTCTGCCATCGCGAAAATGCGCAAATTCTTTCACTCTGTGCTGCTAAAATCTCGCAGAATTTCAATGTTCAGCCTCTGTTGAGAAATCATTTCGCAATTCGGCAATCCACCGAATCTTGATCACCTAATCGATGCTAACGTCAAACTCCACCTCTAAACCTTCTTCTTGGGCGATGATCCCGCCAGCAGAAAAAAAACCGCCAGCTAATAGCGAGCGAGATGATCGATGTGTAAGTAAAAAATTAGGATAAATTGCAAAAGAGTGATAACATTTTTCTCGTGTTCATCAATTCATCTTATGCGAAAATCTCACATCGGCGGCCTCTGTACACGGCTTTTTTATTTCTGGGCATATATCGCTATTATACATTGAGTGGTTTCTAAAAATAGATCTCTCATATTTATAAATATACCCTATGTAGCAATTGTAAAGAGCGTCTTAGCGAAAAAATTCACATGAGATCGCTAAAAAAAAGTTCCCTTATATCGAGCATCGCGAACCAACACCATCGCACGATCTTTGATCGCCGGAAAGCTCTTCTGTGGGTACTTTTTGGGGGAGAGATCGTCCCCATCTCGGCGATCTGCGATCGGGTGTGAGTGCGCGCCTGTGTGTGGGTGAAAGAGAGCAAAAAGGGGAGGATCTGTTGGACTACAAGTGTAATTTCTCTTTTCTGACTCTTGGCAATTGAAATTTGCTGGCAATAAACAACCATTTTTTCCCAACTCGTCTTTCGCATGGAGACAAATTTGCATTGTTGCCATTTCTCATGATCACATCAGAAACTCACACACAACACACACACACACACACTCGCTCACTCGCCAACTCCCGGCGACAAGAAATTTCAGTCTCGTCGCGATCATTTCGTCATAGCGACGTTGCGTCTCTCGTGGTGTGCGCCTGTGTGACCCCAACACAGCCCAAGTATCTCATTAGATGGAAGAAACAAATGAGAATTGAGTCGCGCCAGGCTTTGAATATCGGCGGCGCTGTGTGAATTTTGTGTTAAATCGCACGAATGCCTGAGAGAAAAAGAAATGATATGCCCCAAAGTCGGCGAGGAGTGGTGTGTGAGTGAGGCACACAGTCGCATACCTGCGGAGCGAGTGTGTGTGCCCGGCTATTGCTCCCTCGAAGCAGAGCCGAGCATCGCAGTCGAGCGAGTAGTGCCTTTGATATCGACTTTGTGGCTCATTTCAGCACAAACTGTCTCTTGGTGAAGTCGATTTTCATCGCCGCTGTCGGCTTCTTCAGCTCCAGCCAGACACACACCATTCTCTCCCCATTCCTCAAAGTTCTCTGGTGCTCTCTCTCTCCATCCCTCGCACTCGGGCTGTTTTTCCAAGTTTTTCCACCGACGAGGCGGATCACACCGATTCTGAGGGCAGTTTGAGAGTATTTTGTGAAAAATTCCCCTCGGAGAGACTTAATAATTAAGTGAAGTGAACAGTGATGGACTGATAGACAGTAAAACTGTAGAAAATGCGAGAAAATCATCATAGCGAACAAATTGTGCGACTGATAGGGAACTGGATTTTCCTGAACTGTGGCTTTTTTCTTATCTACCGAAAAGTGGGGAGGAATCGCAGCGCACAGACGGCGGGCCCAGAAGAACTCCCGCGGCAGGACACCTCTTCAACCATATGGAATACAGCAGGACTGAGCAGTGCTTAAGTGATTCAGGCCAACCCCAAAAATCTCGCGCACAATATTGTGAAATTGCCTACAACTCCGTGCGACAGAGATGACCATACTTCCCGTCCGGACGAATCTGCAAGTCAGCACTGTGATGCTCTTGGCCAGCTGAATGATCCCTGACGCTCGCCCTGGCACAGCGACTGGGAGAAAGAAGCGCGAGACGTCTGATGAAAAACGAATTTCCATTTCAAATATCTTGATGAATATGGTAACGCAGAAAAAGTACTGTGAAACATGCAAAATAGCCGGTCAAGTGAAAGTCTCTGGACGGAGACTTTACCTGGCCTTGAGTTCAAGCAGAGACACAAAAGCCCAGAGAGAGAGAGAGAAAGAGAACCTTCGACTTTTTAGGACTCGACCTTTTTCTCAAAATTACCACTACATGGAGACGTAATTAGTAATTGCAACTGTGACATTCCGGGCGACAGAGAGAGCCCCCCTCCCCCCTCCATCCCAGAAGCTGAGAGACGCCACTGGATTTTCCCCTTCTGGACACTCGCACGACCGTGTATCTCCAGTCCAAATAAGGTGAGTAGCAAACTTCAACTTTATCCATTTTTCACACTCCATGAGAAATTACCTTGTACATAGTGACCAAATCATTGGCTCTGGCTCTCAAATATTGACTTGGCGCAATGGGGCAAGAGAGGAGATTTAGAGTATATCTTCATCCTCCTCAAATGCGATCGTCATTTAATGCTAGAGCAAATAAAATGTACATTTTAAGTGATTGTTGTTGAGGTATTTTTAGAAGCATGATCTGGCTGCTATCTTGCTCTCAGCGGCGTTGTCAAGCCGTTGTCTTTTTGAAAACTCTTAGGGTAGGTTGTAGAGCTAGACTACGCCTAACTAACAGCTCCACCTACAACCATGCACACTGCTCTCTTGGCCCCTCTCTCTCGCTCTCGCTCTCTCAAGAATTCCACTCAGGCCGGTGCCCCTGCTTTGTGCTCAAAATCAAGATTATGCTATCACGAGAGACTTTTCACAAGAAAATCATGTGATGACATAATTTGTATTTTTGGTTATATCGTAACTACGTGACGCTTTCCAACCACCCTGTGACCTGAGGTTCGATATTCTAGTCTCTTGACTCGTTTTTTTTTTCTTCTTCTGTTGTCCCAACGCCCAAAATGCTTTGTGTGTGAAGAGCGAGCGAGATGGAGGCAAAAACCACCCATTCCAGTGAAATCCGGTGAGGACGGAGCAACAGAACCATTAAGAGATAGAAGGCAAAATTTTTGATGGAAGTTTCACCAAAAATTTTCCTACCTGTTCTCCTCCAGTAAAAACACAACACTTCCCAGGAAGAGGCAAATGTGTGTCGGTCCTTTGTTCCCGCGGGGATGAAGAAAAAGAGTCTTCCTCGGAATCTCCTCTTTGGGCCTATTCAAGAGACGCCCCTGTACAAGATTAGCCGCGGACACACATTACATATGAGTCCCTTCCAGGGATTTAAGGGTTGATTTGCAACACAAAGAGAATGACGAAGAGAGAAGTACATAAAGAGGTGTTCGCAAAACATTTCCCCACCAACACACAGGCTGGATTTTTCGAGAAAATTCTACACCACAGGTATAGACTGTGACTCACACGATCAACCCATACGATCGGCATGGCGTTTGCCAAGATAAGGAATGTGCTCTCTCGAGCGTTCTACACTTTATCAATTGTCAACATTGATTGGGAGTTGTGGCACAGGGGAGAAAAGGCACGCAATAGTGGTGGGCGCTGAGGCAAGAGCAGGGCTGAAAGCTCATGAATACAAGAGATCATTGATTGTGAGCCGCTACCCCTGGAATCGGGGTGAAATGTCCTGGGCATGAATAAAAATCGCCTCGTAATGCCTCACTCTATTGTCACAGAGAAATATTTTGTGGTGGACCCAAAAGGAGAGGAAAATGATTGTATTTCAATGACTAAATACGCGGCTCATACACGTCGTTAAGTGATTTTCTCTTTCCAACCACCCAGAGCAAATTCAACGGCCTCTCTTTCACTCTCCTTGGGTAGATGTGTACGTGAAAAAAAAAATCAAACGACTGGTGACTTTTGTTGCTAAGCACTCAAAGTGTGGCTCTCAACCGTATTATATTTTATTTTATATAAACTGTGTCGATTTTCACACAGTTTCATTGTTGTCTCTCATTTCAAATATCTCCTCTCTTCTTCTCATCAGCCGAAAAAAAGGAAAACAGAAACATACAAACAGGGCGAATGCTTTGCGATAGCCATTAAATATTGCTGCTTTTTTACATCTCTCAAAATCTACCGAAGAAAACTCATCAGCCATTCTCAATTTCTATGTTTGTGCATACTATTACTACCAATTTTCTGGTATTTGCCGAGAGAGAGAAGAAACTTCCCACTTGACGCGACAGTCATTTTCTTTTAATAGACTCTTCGTCTTTTGCCTACATTATAGTTTGGTGTGGCTGTGAAACTGGTTCAACACCATTCACCTCTCATAATGCTTTGCAGAGACCTCCAAAAATTCGCTTCCTTTTCAGACCACAAACTATGTGTTGCGAGAAAGACAATGCACCCCAGGGTGAAGAAGGGATGCCTTTCATTAAGATATTGTGCAGAAAGGAATCCCCAGCGATACTTCACGTAAAAGTCTTCACTCGCAAATTGTCTAACGCATTCTTTTTGACAGAGCAAAAGTCCCGCAATACAACTGATATTCCAAAAATTCAGGTTAAGTTCATTTTTTCCACACAAGTGCACATTGTGAGCTCATATCTGGTGCTCTCTTTTCTCAAGTCGTTTCACATTGAAGAATTGATAAATCCACGAAATCTACTTGCCACACACACACACACACCGCGACTTTCGACATCTCTGCGGCATTCTATTGAGTCTTCATGCTACGGTTTGCAATTGAAATGGCGAAAGGGAGCCTTGATTGCTGGCCTTTTCTTGCTGACTGTATCTTCTTAAAAATTTAACACTGCGGCTTTCCGGACATGATTCATACAAAATATTTTTACACACATCGACTCACACGGGCGAAACAAGAAATTCGCAAGTGATCAAATGGTGTGTATATTCCATCATCAATTGACTTTTTGTGCTGCGCATTCTGTGGGCAATTCGTAAGCGCAGTGCAAGACGCATGATGTCATCAATCAAATATCCTGGTCCACCATGATTTACACACTCGGCATTTCTTTTCAATTAATGTCCATTTCTGTGGTGAAGTGGTGTGGCCCCCATGGCTTCATTAAATTATTGTAATGGTCAGAGAGAGGGAGCTTTTTGTGGGTTTTCGCCTATCAGAGATATTCACTCGCGGCGTGGAAATTATTCTTGTGTCCTCTCCCTCTTGATTTTTATTGGAATTATCACACGATGGCCCCTTGAGTCGATGGGTAATAACAATAAGATCATCATGACACAATGATTAATACTTCCTGCATTGTTTACTTCATTATTGACGTGGCCACGTCATAAATGGACTCGCTGAGGGCTTTGCTCGCCTCTTTTCCCAGCCAAATTCATGTTATATCACATTTTAACCCCCAGGCTGAGGAAAACACCCGTGCAATGTGGTGATGGAAGTGGTGAATAAACATGAATCAAAAAATATATATGTGGGGATTCAATAAGAACCCATCATTATCCATGAGGGCATTAAACCCTTTCCTTCCTTCTCTCGCCCTCAACCCGACCAACAGACCGCACCATTTTTATTTCGGGCAAGTGTTATTAATTTCACGTTACAATTGGGCTGTACTGAAAAGTACAGTCGTGTAAACAACCCCCTTTCACAGGACCTTTCATCGAGCGTCGTGTCCTATGAATATTGCATTAAATACACTCACGTCTCTCAAATGTCTCAGAACTCGAGCCTCTCTCTTGTACTCAACTTTCTCGGCCAAATGATAATATTCTTGTGTCACAATTTCTGGCTGTGCCACGTCTTCGAGTCGCCAAAAGCATGTAATTTAATTTGGGATGATCGGGCAAAAAAACCATGGCTTAAGCGCGCACTCCCTTGTGCATTCACGCACTTACCATACATTGGTGAGCGCGCGGGAATAAGTGGCACAGAGGGACCAGGGCGGGACGCTTGTGGATGTTGTCTTTTGGACAAAAAGACGTGCAAAGATGATCAAGACAAAAAAAAACACAGAGGCATTCTACCTCAATTCTCGGGCATATTCAGTCTGTCTGGCGTCTGGAATTATCGCAATATAAGGGGTAATGCTTTTTGCACATTGAATCGCCCTTCATTTTCGCGCGTAATGGGTGCATTACACTCTCTCAAACCACCGCACAAAGTCAAGCACGAGCCACCCTCTCTGCCCAAAGTTCATTTGAGTATCCTACGCAGCGAACGCCCATCCCGACCCCCACGACGGCGGAGGGAACGACCCGACGCAAGTTTGGTAGAGTGTGCGACCCCTCGCAAGGGCTGGTGAGCGCGCGGGGGTGAGGCTGTAACAGGGTTCAGCCGTCGCGACGTCGCAATCCCTAACCTACCCTATTTCACGGGTGTGATGCCCCAAAAATATCTCCTACTCGCTACACCAATACACCAGCAACGGAGATTCGGGATGCTGGATTCTACATAGAAGGCAGACATGAGGTGGGGGGTGTTCAGAGCTGCCAATATTTTCCTCGCCACGATGAGGGGATCTCATCGGCCGAGAGAAGGAGAGGTCAAAGGCGAGTAGGGCCAGTTTTTGGTGACACCCCACACACAGCTCGGACTATAGAAATATTCATTAGATCCGGGGCAAAACCAATATCCTAGGTTCGTCGCCCTCGGGAGTCATTCCCAACACTTGCACACAGTCTCACTCGCCAAGTGAACGCTGTTGAATTGAGGCATAAAATTGCGCATGAGTCACACAAACATGGCAGAGGGGGTCTATGTACAAGATATATATTTATATATATATATCATCGATTCTCATACGTGTTTTATGGGTAGATCCGGCGAAAATGGCAATTGCGAAATCACACACACACGCGCGGAATCAGGCGAATGTCTAGACGCGAAACCCTGTGTCCGTCCTCGTTCCTGCCGCTGTGTGTCGTCCACCAAAACTCTACCCCGCCATGCCAGACGCCGTGGGGTTGCTCCGTTAGTGCGAGAGAGAGGCGATCGCGGTGCGAGCGAAAGGGAATCGTCCGGGGTACCCCAAGCGCACTGGCACGCAAGCGCCGACCATTGTGATTTTCCTCTCCTTCGCACTGCGAAAATCGTGTGGGCAAGAGAATTCACACTCTGGGCATCCCATCTCACTGGGGGGCTGCGGCGGTCGAGAGACAGAGAGGTGAGATGGACTGGCATTTCCCCTCTCTTGCCTATATCATCAAGTGAATATAGCGCCCCCCAGAATGATGATTAGAGTCAGTAGCGCTGATGCGACGGTGGAGAAATTCTCTCCCAACTGCACACACTGCTGAATACTAACATATTGGGTGATGCCTCAACAAAGATTCTATTTCACCAGTTAGTCTATCCCTGACTCACAATCTCGCAGCAACGCATCGGCGGGAGTGCGCGTTCTTTTTGGTGATTTGAGGACTCAAGACAACTCCACCATTTTCTCCAGTCACCATTCAGCGATCAACAGTGCTCGGGATCGGTGTGCAACGGCGAGAGCCTGTGATGGGGAGGCAGTTGTGTGAAGTGTGATTTCCAGTGGAGTGACCGAAGCCGTGTAGCGTGTCAGTTGGAGGATACCCAAGTGGTGTGTGGAATTCGGAATGACCAAGACGGTATTTTTGAAAATTTACTGCATAACTCGCGGTTGACGTCAGTGGGCAAAGCACATATGGTTGCGCTTATTTGTTGCCTTTTGCCAACAGCCAGAAAAATGCGGTGGGTTGAACGGTTTATTATATTTGAATATATTTCAAAATTTTTATACATTCAGCATCACACTCACGGGTTTTTTCTGTCTTCCTCTCTCGCCATTCATTCACATTTCTCAAGACGCGAGATTTTTGGGTGAATCAACTTGTTCTCCATCGCAATTATAAGAGAGTTGAACACTTGGAAATTTCACGCCTACGCCTAATTGGGAATTCGTAAGTAAGGCGCGATAAGTGACTGAAAACAGTGATTTTTTTTTCATTTGTAGTTTTCTGGTTTAAAATTACTGAATGTGTCACTTCCTATTGACTTCGCAATTTCTTTCACTGATGAATCATTTCCTCATTTTACTTGACTCACATAATATTGTCCCGAGAATTTCTCTCAAGTGGTCTGGCCAGTGCATTTGAGCAGATATTTTGATAACTCTTGTTCATAACCAGAGAAGTGTTATTCCCCCGCCAGTTGAGAGAGAAAAGAAGAAAAAAAATCAAGTGTGTTGAATAATTTCCTCTTTTTTCCTCATCATTTTCAACTAACGTACGTTTTCACATCACACACAGACATTCATTCATATGTGAAAAAGAGGCTTAAGTAGAAAAGATCACGCGAAAGAAGAATCCATTGAACCCTTTCGAAAAGATATAAAAAGCGTCAGAGAAAAATAAAATACCGTGTAGGTAGATAACTTCTTTGCCTATCTTGGCCAGGTGTTTCATCTCTTTCGCACCACCATGGCAGACATAGGCGCGTTATGTGAGGATTTGGGAGAAGTGAAGCGTCTGAAGACGGCGCTGGTGAATTTCCGCAGACACTCGTCCACTTAGACGTAAAATATTGTCCAATTTGAGATACTGCGCGACATGTTTGTATATTAAAAAGAAAGACTATTGCGCCGTGACTGGATGTGGCGCGTGAAAGCTTCGTCACCCACCCACCCATGGCATGAATGGCTTTGGAAAAAGCTCGTGGCCAGTTGACGTCATTCGGTGGAATAACACACCATTTAGTCAATTACCTCTCGTGCCATTCTCTCGTCTTGCCCCCGCCCTAAAAATCTGCTCCTCTATTTAACAATTTTCTCAGGAATTTCAGCAGCACTGAGCGATTTTCACTGCGGTCACCTACTATGGAAAGCACAACCCACACTCACAGATTACACACTGCGGCAAAGCGTATGCTGTGTGTGGAGGCCAAGGGGGCGGAAAAAAGACTGCCTCACTTATCATTGAGCCACATAGAGAGGGAACTCTCTCAGATAAGGCACGATCTGCATCAGGAAGATGTGTAGTCATAGTTTAATGCCGCATGAAACCCCTCATTTCTATACTATGGCTATCGCACAGAAGCGCATACAGTCTATTGTCTATTTGAATTTTCTCGTGAAAACAATCACTTTTTGACGTCAATATCAGACTCAAAATTAACATGGAAAATTAATTGTCTTGCAACAGATACACTCACTTTTATTGCAAAACTTTTCCCTATGAAATTGCAAAGTTTCTCATAACAGCTTGATTGTCAACCCGTGCAATATGATATATCGACAATATTATTAGTCATTTAAAATTCAGTATAAAAGCGTTGATAAACATCATTTGCGTCATCCAGAGAGCTTTTCCTGTTGCTCGCACACACACTGCAAACCTCTGTTTCTTCATCTGATTCCATTTACACACCATAAGACGACAAAAAGTCCGTAGCAATATCCGGAAGTTTGTTGTCGCGTCAATTGACTGTAAAATGACGAATTCAGTTGGATTTCGCGATAAAGATGTGTGTTGGGGTCTTTATCATGTGAGAAAAATTTCTCAGGCGAGCGCGAGTCGCGTACGTGGTGAAAAATGTTGGGTGGTGATCGCCCAATGTTTGGCCCGAAGCGCAAAAATTGGACGATTTGGCAGGAGGAAGGCTCGAGTGGACGCCAGTTCCGCGGGGTGGGGCAGCCATTGAATGGGTAAAGGTGTCTCACACGCGTTAACTTTGGTGTTCATTGGACCTCGTCAAAAAGTGGAAGAAGAAATATGTATTATCCAAGATATAAAGTCGAGTAAGCGCGCAAAATCCACCGCCAAGTGGCCAGAACTGAGGGAATTATTAAATTAAATAAGGTGTATAAGAGGCCAACAAATACACACATTAGATAGCAAATAATGAAAATGGGAGAGAAAGAGAATAAAAGGCAAAAAGACGAAAGAGAATATCATGTAATTAATAAATGAATATCAAGACATGCGATCGCGGTTGGAATTGTCTGATGATCGCGCGCATCAGAAAGTGGATTGAACTGGAAGCATTGATCACTTCATTTCTCTCCCGTGGGTCATCCTCAGATTGCGATCGAGGGCCAATTAATTCCACTTCCTTTTCCCTTTCATTGCACACACACTCACAGTGTGGACACATTCCTTGGTGAAGAGACGAGACATGTCGCTTGTCGCCGAGGAGACAAAATTCTACACCACCTCACAAATAAGACATTAACATTCCCAGTGGAATATTAATTAATATTCCAGACAAATACACAATTAAAAGCATCGAAAGCAAAGGCGGATAGACATATAAGCCGGGTAGCAAAAAATTAGTTCTTTTCTCCTCTGCTTCTCTCCCAAGCTTCTACTCTCACACCAATTACGACAATGTTGCGAAAAATATGCCAGTTGGGGATCTGTTCATCACATTTTAGCCACCATTAAAAACTAATTTAATATACCTTAACCCCTTTTGCGCGTCCAGCTACATAAATTTTTCACAAGAACACTCCGAAAAATATGCATATAATTTAGTTGGCTGTTTTTTTTGTGAAAATTTTACGTGCCTGGCTCTGCACAGTAAGAGAAGAATTACAAGATAAGGCAAGAATGTTGCCATACAAAACTTTTTTCTCACTCTGTGTCACCTACTTTTGGAGTCCCTCCCCTCGAATGGCAACCAATGTTGGAGAGAAAAAGCTCAATACCAACTTCTTGGTATTGAAATGCTACGCATTTATGACTCTATTTTTCACAGCTCACTAACAATGATATTTTCTCTCTGTCCTTCCAGACAATGTTCCATAGCAAGTCACTTGGCAAGTGACATTGAGGCATCTTCAGGTGATTGGGAAAGAAGGGAATAATTGGTCAGGATGTCAGGCACTTTCCTGAGTAGCTGCCGCATTGAATTTCCTGCCAGAGTCACTCTCAAGTGCCCTCTCACGGATTCACCTCATGCAACAATCTCCAGGTAATTTCATTTTCTGCTGGCAATGACATTTTCCAATGAATGGTGCGTGGTGCCTTGTGGTTTTAGCGCTGTAATCAACTGCATTTATCGCAGTACGACCGAGGGAAGGAAAAAAAAGCGATGCAAAATCGTGATAAAATCCCATTGACAGTCATTAAAAGAGATTTCGGATCGCGATAATCTCAATAAAAACGGATACGTGAAAATGTGCAATCTTTTTCAAATCCCAAAAGGAATTATTTCGCATCAGGTTTTTATTCTACTAATCTAACTTTTTTTTCTATATCGAATGACAATCCGAAGGTGCGCTCAATCACGACTCACTGAATTTATCTGGAAAAGCGTCCGGAAATATGAAATTTATCATGTTTGCACAACATTTACTGAAAATGCCGTGCCACTCTTTCTCCCTGCTCTTATCACACGTCGTCGTGCTAAGACACCGAACCTCAAGTACAGGCCACGGAACATGTGTTGGTTGGTGTTTTATATATACGTTTTTTTTCGCTGAAATTGCGACAATTGGGTGGTATATTTAAGCTTCAATTTTACTTCTTGCGCCACGACTCACAATTATTTCGACGTCCACGATGACTCAGCTCCTATAAATAATGAGCCATTCTCCTCTTCTTGGCCACCTTATAAAAGAAGGCGAAAGAAGAAATGTGAAGGAGAGACAGAGACGGAGTTGTTCTGGGAACAATGCTGGTGGTTCGCTTGATTTGCCGTCTTCAAGTTCACACGCGGATTTTGCTATTTTGCAAGGATTACCAGTTTTTCACTTGGAGGTTCAGCGGAGGTCATTCATTTGGTTTTGCCAATATACTTTTTATCCACACTGTGCGATTCTCCTCTCTGGGGTTCAGCAGTTTGTGTATATTTGTATAAGATTCACCGCGATTCTAATCAGTGCTAATTTCTCCCGTGTATCTTCCACTTGTTTCCATCTTATTTATTATTTTGTTAAATCTTGTTACACACACCTCATCTCAAATCGCTGCACTAAGAGGTGGAGAGATGTGTTTGGACTGCAGAAGAGGAAAAATTTCTTTTCTGTATCACTTCCTTCGTGCAATTCAGCCAAACCCATTAATTGAGTGAGAAATTGCAGAAAACATTATAACACACATGATATGCTTCAATTGAAGTCCAAGGTGTTGAACATTAGCATTTCCAAGCGGTGAAGGAGGCGAGAGCGAAGTCAAGAAAGAAGTAGACGCGCAGTGAGTCCAATTGCAAAATACACTGCACGATTAAGAGTGAATAGAGTGTGGCAAAAGTAATTTCGAGAAAACCTTCATATCACCCATTTTGAATGTAAAATGGTGCTAAAATGTATTTGACATTGTCCTACATTTTCTGTCTCACACAAACTCTCTCTCTAATATTACCCTCCGAAATACACATATCGTGTTGTGCAAATGTATGGGGCGACTAATTAAAATTTCTGGGCAGATGGAGAGCGATGCTAATTTCACGTGAAAAGAAAATGGGCCTGAGGAATGCCTCTGCCACCAGTCAAGGAGCAAATTCGTTGAATTTTATCACGCGCCAATAATCATTTTTCACACACCACAAAGAGCGGAGAGAGACAAATGTGATATCAATTTATTGATTGTGTGAATATTCAAACACCGCGCGCGACACTGTTGAATTCCACTAGGAGACAGTGCTCTAGTGAGATCATTCATCTTTGACTTTGAGGCTGATGGAGAGGAGAATCGCGAGCAGTGGCTTCGGAGTGCGATCGCGGTGCGCGATGAGGGAGAGAAATAGCAAAGTTCACAAAATAACCACGATGTAAAAATTTTATATTTTGATTGACGCAATTCACGCGAAAAATAGAACAATTATATCAAAATGGGATTCTGAGGGACTATGCTATCTCTTTGGCTGATCACTTGAGATCACTTAGCGATCGCGCGCACCTCCGGCTGTTCTCAATTGAGGATCAATGAATTTTTTTTTTCACTTAAATTCCTCACAAAGTGCTCATCCAGCACTTGTGAGTCAAAGGAAGAGCAGAAATAGCATCAAACAAGTCAAAAGTTTGTACAAAAAAAATGCTGTGAATCGAGCTTAAAACTTTTGAAAATGATTAAAAGTTTGCATTTTCAGCCCAACAGGTTTATCATGACTGTTTTCGACTAAAATTATCAGACACGATCATCACCATTAGAATGTGAGACTGAAAAGTCTGAAATAAACAAATTTTTCCTGGAATTACCCAAACTCCCCCCACACTAATGAAGAATGCGTCATACATAATTTTGGTGGCAATAGGAGAAGAGACGTATCATTGACTCCCAACTCTACTGCACAATAAACAAATTTCGTGATGATCTTCGGGTGATCTTGAGAAATAATTGACATATGTGTCATATTTGTCTATTTTATCATCTTGTGATTTATATGTGCATTCCAATGGCTCTTGAGCCCTCATTTGTGTGCTGCAGCAAGTGAGCACAGAGCCTAGACAGCCGACGAGTGCGATCGAGAATGATCTGTGGTAGGAAATCCAAAAAGACGAAAAAATAGCCAAGCCGAGATAAGATCAGTCTCCCCATTCATCGGCACAGCGGAGAGAGAAAGAGTGAGTGTTCGCGCGGTCCGTAGGTCGGGTGTGTGCATGTGAAAGATCGCCATGAATGAATGCCACCACAAGTGCATTACACATATTGTGAGATCGTCTCACTCTCCACAGGCAGTTCAAGGTCGATGGCGAATTGCGCGGCGCGAATTAAGCGTCGACGCCTGAGGAATTTAACCAATATAGACACAGACATGGAGCAAACCAGAGAAGATATACCGGGAGACATGGGTTGAAGGCGCAGCGAGAAAGATGATCTCGCCGAGGGGAACTCAAGCCCGGCTCACGGGCACATCGGAGGAGAGGCTGTGGTGTACACTATGGAATGGGGATCATTTGATCGCGCCAAGACAACACACCACACTCTCAGTGCGCTCGCAGCAGAATCGCGCGAAGCCTGTTGCCGAGAGACGGGAGGAGAGCGAGGTCTTATTCAAATGGGTGCGATATTAAAATGTCTCATCTGCATCCTCTACACATCACAAAGCGCGCTGCTTTTCGCGCATCTTCTCTCCCTCTCGCGTCTGATTCCAACTCGCCAGGCATTCACCCAAGTGTTAGAACACGAAGATCGCGAGGAAAAATGAGATGTACAAGATCACGATGGAGGGAGAGAAATATCAGATCGGGCCTCTCTCATTCCCACACAAAAGCTCTCTTCGTGGTGGAGGCTTTAACACCAAAGGCGCGCGCAAAAAAGCATCGCGCGGACAAAGTGAATGTCCGGACGTGCTCAAGTCGCACGAACTACCTTGAACTGGGCAATTGGGCATATAGCGAAATTTTTATTGGCTTCTCGCGAGTAAAATATGCTATAAAACACAACACACACATCGGGCATCTCTTCCCCCATTCCCCCAACATTCACAGTCACGTCGATCGTCGTGGTGATCAACCAATAATTCCCACCACGATCACGCGGCGATCGAGATTGTCCGCGAGGATTGCGGTGTGTAGGAAGACTGAGAGTGGTGCGAAAGAAGCGCGATATTGCCAAGGACACGTGAAGTGTGACGTGTTTATGTGATCATCACGCACAAGATCACACATTGTTGCTTCTATCTGTGGAGCCAAACTATTAAATCATACCTGTGGAATTTCCTGACATTCCGTCAACGTTACTTAAGAATGCCAGTGGCGAACTGGAGAAGCGAGATCACGGTGTTGCTTCTTAACTCATAAAACACATCTGCATACGCTAAGTCCTCCTAATCTGGATTGTAAGTTTTTTAAATGGGTGTAATGAAAACACACGAAAAATGTCGGTATACACATTAATAAATGTAATGAAAAAAGCTGTCTCTCTCTCTCTCTCTCTCTCTCTCGGGAGATGATCGTACACGAAGGAGAAGTGGAAGATTGTGTGGAAATGTGGGATATATGAAGAGACGTTCATTGACTTCAAGACAACACACAATGTTTTATTATTAACTAAATTGGCGACTGGCTTCACGACAGATCGCTAAGGCCGGACGACGAGTGCGAAGAGGCGAGAAGATGATCAGTCACAAAGAATTTTTGAGAAAGGGAACCACAGACAAAATTCGCAGATTCACTTGCCAACACTCGAGCCACGAACACTGATCGTGTGATCTTCCTTCAGTTGACTATTGAAATTGCTGCTCAGATGTTGTGTGTGTGTTAATCATGAGGCCAAGAGAGTGAGAGAGAGATTTACTTTTTTCGCGGCCGCGGCTGAAAGTTCCTCACTTGTGGTAATTCTTAATTTCATACTTATTTATATAAATGACTATGGCAAAAATATTTCCGCGATTCCCTTGCCCCGTCAATTAAACCGTCGTTCGCACACATGATTCGCCCAGAGTTTGAGAAAGAGAGGAGACATATAAGCCAGGGGAGAAAATGTGGAAGACATAGATCCAATTTAACTTTAAATTGCTTAATTTAATCGCGAGTCGTGGCAAAAATGAAGTGATGTGATAAAATGTACAAGAATGCGCGAGTTAATTAATATTTTATTCAATGGTTGAATTGGAGGAAAAATTCCACTCATCTCGAACAGGCAATTGTCAGGTGATTTCTCATCAATTAACCAGCTATTATTGCCAACGATACTTTCCCCACCACCCTTGAAAAAGTATCGATTTCGCTCTCTGATTTTTCTTTTATTTGAACTTCGTGCCAATTTGGGTGCAAAAAGCGGAAGTGAAACTGGAATTTCCAAACGAAAAATCTTCACCACGCGAGATTCGAGGGGAATTTTTCGGGCCGTTAGCGAGCAACAGTGAACCAATGAGCCACAGTGATCATTCCTGCACTTAATCGTACTCAGTGTGTGTCAAATTTTTCAACAATCCCAAAGATTTCTCTTGACTGAGTGTATGCTGTCTGTGTCGCGCCTCATTTTTTGATCATATAAAATCAGAAATTTTGCAATTCCTCACATTTTTCTCGCTGTCGTGCTCTTCTCCCCGGAAAGCTTTTATATCACTTTTAATGCTCCTTTATTTTTGGATTGCCAGCCAAAGGCAAGTGTGTGAAGTGAGGAGAGCTGAGACCAGAGTCTGGGTAGATTGCGGAAGAGACACGAAGAATGATATAACTTTATATAGTTTTTTTTTTCTTCATTTCTGCCTCTGTCGAGCACCACATACATTTTTGTTATAAATCTAATTAGAAATGAAAGCAGAAGCTTGTTATAAAGTGTTTCCGTTTTAACGAGTGTGCGGTAATCTTGATGGTTCTTTTCTTCAAAATGTGGATGACGAGAAGAGAGATCATGAACCAAAAAGTCGACAATTTAGTGCGATTTCACAGTGAAATTTTTGTTGAATTTCAAATGGAATTTTTTCCGAGACATTCTGCTTAATACCTTCATTTCGAAATCAGTGTCGCTCTGTGAGCAATCTCGAGCTTGGGCTGAGATGTGATTCATCTGTGAAATCTCGAGCTGGAGACGACTTTTGAGAGAGAAGCAATCGATCTTCGTGTCCATGAAGAACACCGAAAAGACTGCAATAGCTGTAGTTTTTATCAAGTATACTCACGTTGAATGCTTAAATACATATGCATTGACATGTCGCGAAATGTGGAATCAACTTCCCACCTCAATTTTTGTGTTGTAAATTGAATGATGTATTTTAATGTGTGCGAAGAGAGTGAGAGACTGTGGATTGTGATTTTGGCCAGACAACCTTGATATAGATTCACGTGTACGAAAATTTCCTTTGATCTCATCTGTTCTTTTTTTTTTCTCTCGCTCTCCATTTCCAGACGACGGCGGTGTGCGGCTACGAAAATCGTCCCGATGAGAGCAGAGGACCCCTCTGGCAGCGTATCATCTGGTTTCGACGAAAAGGTGGGCACACACGGAGGAGACAAAGGGACCTCAAGATTGGGTGAGAGATGAAAGGGTTGGAAAAATTCGCTAGACGAGGAAGAGAGGTGTCAGTGAACTGGTTTACTCTGACTGGAGTGAACCCCATCAAGGCCACGGAATGTCTGGATGCCGAATCCCTGCCATGGAATTCTTCCTCCTTCCCAGCAGACGGTTTTTTGTCCGCCGCGCTGAAAATCTCTTGATGAAATATTTGGAGGGACCCTTGAGACAATTCAGCGAGAGAGACAGAATTCACACACACGAGGAACATCTGTAGGAAACCCCAAAAAGCACAGCTCATGGGCAACTCAGGAGAGGAGACAGAGAGAGAGAGAGCGCGAGGGACTCTTCTGCCCACCTGCTGCTTGATTAAGAATTATTACCCCGCCCAGGTATTGAAACTCACAAGTGTATGTGTGTGTGTGCAGCTCTTTTTGCAATATTCCCTCATTTTAATTCTCTCTATTATTATTAATAATTAGCCAATAAAAATGATAATTGCTTGTAGTGCGAAGATCAACAGACACACCGTGCACTTTGTGGCCGAGGCAGCGAAGCACCGACGGCGCCTCTCTGTTGTTGGACTCAAGAATGCAACGGAGGAGTTTAATGCACCGTGAAATTGGGTGAACAAAAGTCTGCTGCCTGCGTATAACCCCTGGGAGGTGTACCACCAAGTGTTGTGTATCGTTTGGGGGGATCATCGCGACCGATCACTTGACACAGACACCATCAGCTCTGTCCAAGTGACCGATACAGGCGTGCGCACACTTCTCTTTTTTTTTAATTGAATTCACCCAGTGATTAGCAAATGGGTATCGTTTCAGCACAGATTCGATCATCCAACACACATTAAGCCAAACATAAATCACCCACGCAACGATCTTCACTTGTGAGTTTGATCTTCTTGTTCAGCCATTTCGAAAACATGCAGTCGGCATCTATTTTTAAACCATCAACCTCATCCACTGTGCGCTCCTCACGCCGCCGAAGAAGACTCACCTCCTCACAGACCATCCTCGATTTCCCCGAGCAATATACTCTTTTTATCTGTGTTAATAGCTTCAAACAACTAATTGACGCATTCCCTATATTCAGCACGCACTATAACTTTTTGTTTCAGTCTCCATCTCTCTCGCGCACACTTGCTCTCCATAGCCATCCGTTGGGCCCCCGCGCGCGCCCCACAAGATGCGAATGAGACGCACGGGATATGAGAGGTGAACTTCCGGACATGGGGAAGATTTCTGTGTTGCGCGCTACTCGGGGCCTTTGGACTTTGCATTAGATTTGAGTCAGGTACCTGAAGTAGCGCGCGAAACGGAAATACCAGCACGGTTTGCGGGACTGATCGGCGATCTTTTGGACGCGCTATGATGTGATTATTTCTTCAAGAGAAGCCACACACTCCACGATCCACTAGTCATTGTCGCATGTCTATTGTACTTCATCAGGTGCTCTGGTTGCTTTAGATACCCGGCACATGATGGAGTACACTTCATTTGCGATCAAGTGATCATCGTTCAGCCAGTCAACAGCCGAACACACAATTATAACAGAGAGAAAGAGAGAGAGAGAGACAGAGAAAGAATGAAGTACTACAATGCAATAAAGTTCTTGACCACAGAATTGACTTGTGTTTTTCATGAAAAATCTCGCATCTTGATAGGGATTCGCCAAGAAGATTAGCACAGCAAACAAAGGCCCAAGAATATTTCAATGCTATGAGATTTCTTGGTCACTTCTGAGAACTCTAAATCACCAGAGATACCGAGACTCACGACCAGGCATTTCCGGGGTGTTGATGTGTCAATCATGCTCAGCGAGCAAAAAACCATTAATTTTCATTCAAGTCCACAAACACTGGACCCTCCCTCCAAAACAAACAATACCATTTTTGGGATACAAATTCAACTTGCAAGATGATCTTGTTTTTCCACACCACTCAATTCTCCCAAGCGCAAGATAAATGGCTCAATTGGATATTTCACTGATTTCAATGTGAATTCCCGACCGGAAATGCCTCTTATCTCACACACACTCTCCTTTTAAAATTAAATATTGAGATTGCCTCATTAGCCTTCCCTCATTTCTGATCAAATCCGTGCGCCGCTGATGAGGCAATTTAATTTCGCAATTGCCGATCACTTCCTGTTTCACCATTACAAATGCATGCATTTCAATATTCGGCAATTCTTGTGAATTTGGACCAAAAGAAATGTACCATCTTGAAGCGTCAAGAAAATCTGCTGATAGCTTTTCTATCAATCCCCCTTAATCTGATAAGAATTTCCTCATTTCTGAGAAAGCCAGTTGAAAACACAAAACAAACACAACTGGAATTCCTGATAAGATACTTTCTTTGTTCTACTTTCCTCATCGCAATCAACATGACAACAACTCAGTAATATGATAATGAAAAATACATATTCTTTCAAATTTCCTCCCACATTGGCTTGGCTTTTGAATTTCCCGCCGCACACTTTTTCGACATTCACTACCATTTTTCGTAATTCTCCATCTCTTTCGCCCCGATGACAATCCATTTCGAATATGTGTAGTAATTTTCCTTCAAAACAAATAAAGCCTCTCTTATTGTGATTAAATAAGTGCTTGGCAAAGTTTCACCCAGCAACTGAATGGGTGGTTTAGGATAATCAGGAAAATTGCTGATTTTCCTGCCGTTGTTTAGAGTTGCACTGCGCAGTATTTCTATTTAAAATACGCCTACACTTCAGTTCTCGCGAAGAAGGTCTTCAGTCAGATTTCACTCACGACCTTTCTCTTTGTGCTATTGTTTTCCCCAAAAGCCAGTTCCTGCTTAATATATTTTCCACGTACCGCTATCAGGTGTGATAAGAAAATGCGCACACTGACGGGATGTTGTTTTGGCGTTGGCTGTTTTCTCCTCGCGGGATTCCTCGCAGTGACAGTGAGGTCAGTGTCAATGGGTATTTTTGTGCCAGCGACTCGAGTGCACTTGTATCTGGCTTGTAATCTTGCAGGGCAACGAGTGACGAGCATCCCTGGGATGTGCTGATCTTCACGCAGCAGTGGCCTCAGACGGTCTGCCACCAGTGGAAGTCCTTTGACAAGAGGCACAAGTGTCTCCTGCCCTCCGCGAGGAATCTCTGGACAATCCACGGAGTCTGGCCGACCAAGTACGGTCAAAAGGGACCCGCATATTGCAACTCATCGCTGGTCTTCAACAGCACCGAAATCGCCTCCATAGAGAATCAGCTGGAGATCTTCTGGACCAATGTCGAGCTCAAGACGGACCACTATGATTTCTGGCGCCACGAATGGGAGAAGCACGGCACCTGTGCGTCAGTTCTGCCCGAACTGAGCAATGAGGTTCGCTACTTCAGTCAGGGACTGAATTGGCTTCATCACTACTCAATGTCCTCGATTCTCGCCGAAGCCAAAATCCAGCCTGACTCCTCGCCAAGCGTCGATGAGATTCACTCAGCCGTTCTCAGCCAACTGAAGCACAATCCCGTCATTCACTGCTCCTACGATTCCAGTCGAGGGGAGAATTTCCTGGAAGAGATCCGCATCTGCTTCAGCAAAACCCTCGAACTGATTGACTGTGATGGAGTTGTAGAGTTGAATTATCCCATTCAAGAGCACTCCGAAGGCAAGATAATCTCAAACTGCGATCCGACCAAGAAGATCCTTTACCCAAGCATCGTACCCGATCTCGAGGAAGGTCTCCCCGTTGCGAGAGCAGACATCGACGACACCGCGTGGAAGCTGCCGCTCGTGAACATCTACAGAATCATCCAGATCGTCAAGTGGGCCACTTTTTAGACTGCTTCTCGCGCTACACATTTGCTAGCGTCCCGCCTCGTTTTAGCCAATACTTTGTAAATACTTCGATTTTATTTTAATAATTGTATAGATTTTTCCTTTTTTCTTTAAATATAAATTAAAATATTTAATAGAAGATACCATGACGTTGTTTTCTTCGCGCTGACTTTCCGATAGAAAGTGTTTGAGAAAGTGGAAACAATGTTGTGATCAAATTACTGAAGGAGAGAGCTATTCTACGTAAAAAGTTATTTTGGATGAAAAACTGTGCACTTTAGTTGAGTCATTGTAGCACGATATTTCTAATTATGACATCGCGGAAGTTCTTTCAGTGAATAAATGCGAATGAATCATTTGATCTTACAGAGTCACAGAATCAAACTGAAGAAATTCAGACGAAAGTCTCCTTCTATAGTCTTATCTGTCTCATAAAATTGTTTATTTTAGTATGGAAACATATTTCAGCATAATTGAGCATAGGAGAAGAAAAATAAACAATATTTATCAGTTTTCATTAGCTGAATAAGAACTTTCCCTCCCTATAAACCGTTCTGCCTACTTTCGGGCACTTTTCGTATTGAAACATTCAACCAGTTGCATGAAACATGAAACACGTTCCATAGAAACCAATATTTTATTTACACCGGCAAACAATTCAGTTGAAAATTGTGAGAACAAAGGATAATGGACCGAAATCCTGAAGTGTCTTCATTCCTCGAGGAAGAGTAAACCAAGCAGTAAGAATATTTGGAATTTGTTCAATACACGAAACTTACTTTGCAGGGAAAGATTGGCTAAATTCGGCAGGAGGGATAAAGAGTCATCTTCGCCAATTGGTGAGAAGGAAGAGGACGTCAACCTTCCCATATCCTCCGACTCTGACTCTGATGACTTTACTTTGATTGAGAATTTCAGCGAGAAGAGAGCTAAAGACATTCTCTTCAGTCAGTTAAACTACACCAAAATAATCCTTGAGTAAGTCTCCACGATTTTATATATCGACAAATCTCGTTAATACTTTTTTCCTCTTTCAGCTTGGAACTCCAGAAGGAACTCTGCCTGGAAGTGGGAGTCAATATCTCAGACGAGTTCCCATGGAAGCTGATGAAGAAGGAAATTCTTGAGGACTATCTCACCGATAACCACCCAGAAACTGAGATCCTTCGTAACAAACTCAACCAAATGGACAGTGAGAGTGTTATTCTGGTTGGATACCTCTCTGACTTTGCTGAGGAAGGAACATTCGTGGTCTACGATGATGCAGAATCGGCCAGAACAGCTTCACGAGTCATTGAACAGCTGGAAGCTCTGCAGAGACATCGACTTAAGCGGAGACTCACCAAAGTCCCGGGGAAATGGGAGTGCCTGGGCAGCGACAAGGAAGTCAACGAGTACGCTCCTCGTGTCCGTGAGAACATGGTCAACGTCCAGATTCAGAGCATTTATCCTGTGCGACAGAATCGCGAAATAAAGCTCCAGCAGAGACTGTGTGACGACGCCAGAGATGGATATGTTGAATTGGTGGCTGGAAAGAAAGAATTCGACAACATCTACAAGTCTCGAATTGATACATTCATCCAGTGCGCTCCCATGAAAGTGCATCTGGAGCAGCAGACGGATCCCACTTTTCCCACAAACGCCTGGTCACAGTACATTTATGTGATAGAGCGCGAGAGGAGGGAACAATTGGAAGCTGAACTGAAGGCAAAGGCTGAAGAGGACGCAGAAGCAGAGGAAGAACAAGGCGAAGAGCAAGAAGGGGAAGAAGAGAAGGTCCAGGAAGTTAAGCCCATTGTCTTGTCATCGAAGATGAAGGAATTCTTGGAAGCGCTGGAGTTTAATCAAATCGACATGTACCGAAATGACTACATTTTAGCCAGATCGAAGCGTTTGGCGCCTTTTAAAGTTCCTCAGCTCAGTGAAAAGTTCTGTTTTGCAGACATTACTAAGACTTCCGGACGCAGAGTTCACTGCATTGAGTGGCATCCAACGCTATCAGGCATATTCGTGGCTTCTTACACCTTCGATACGCCATCAGTGAAGATTTCCACTGCTGATAACACCGATATGGTCAATAGAATTGTTCTGCAGCCAAATTATGTTCTCATGTGGAGCTTTGACAACACATTATCACCCAAATTACAACTAGAGGCACCACGAGAAGTGAGTGTGCTGTCCTTCTGTCCCTTTGACCCCACAATCCTAGTCGGTGGTCTCATCAATGGACAAATTATTATTTGGGATCTCAAAGATAAACTGAAAGAGTGCGAATCCGAGGAGACTTTAACGCCCAATCAAGTGAAAAACCGGGAACTGATGAGAGAATTCTTGCGATGGACAAACACCAAGCATCAGTATTTATTTATTCGCAGAGCATTAATCAGCTCTATTGATCACTCTCAACAAGGCCAGATAACAGGAATTCGCTGGCTCAATTCTCGCCACTTGATAACCACAGGTGGACAGATGAAAGAGGATGACAAAGAGAATAGATTCTTCGTGACATCATCTCTGGATGGAACTGTGGCTTTCTGGGATCTCATGCACCCTGAAAGGTGCATCGATAGAAAGACACCAGTGAAGAGGAAGCAATTAAATCTCCCAGCAAGCATCTCTGAAGGGTTATCTGAACTCGCAAAGTACGATAGGATTTATCGGCCAGAAAACATGATCAGTGTGAAGAAGCCCATCTCGGCAATGATCTTCAGTGATGCTCTGTTCAAATGGGAACCCTTGGGATCAGTGTTCAATAAGCCACTAACAGTGCGAATTCCATTCAGAGGCGTTCCTCTTCCGCCTCTGAAGATCGAGCCTCGAGTGCAAATTGATGAGGAGGAGGAAATTGAGGAAGATCTCAATCCCTTGAATTTCTTCCACGTCTCCACGAGTTTTGGGGAGATTTTCGAAGTGAGATGGAAAGGTCACGAAGCTGATCCTCAAGCTGTGATCAGTCGCGATCAGGGAAATCTCAGCCAGACTTTCGCCTCGGTTCACGATGGACCAATTGTGGCACTGGAGAGGAATCCCTTCATCCCTGACGTCGTGCTCTCCATCGGAACAAGGGTCCTGGCCATCTGGCGAACAGACACTCCACTCAATCCCATTTACTATCGCCGCCGTCCTGCAACTCTCGTATCGGCAAAGTGGAGCGTGAGACGAGCTGCTGTGTTCTTTGTCACACGAGACGATGGCGACATTGAGGTGTGGGACTTGCTCAATCAAACTCAGTCGCCGACACTTGTGTCCAGCGTGGGCAGCCAGATCGTGACGACAATAGTGCAACAGAGGCTGCCACTGATGCAGGATGTCGTCGCCATAGGCGACTTCAATAGCAACATACGCATTCTCGTCATTCCACCAACACTCGCGACTGCCACACCTGACGAAGTCAATCTCCTCGATCGTCTAATTGCCGATGAAATTGATCGCCGCAGGCACCTAGCGCAGTTGCAGGCGGAATGGTTTGCCGCCAATGAAGACATTATCGTAGCGAAGCGGCAGTTGGAGTTGGAGGCACGCGAGGCGGAAGAGAGACGTCAGCGTCTGGCCAGAGACCAGGAGGACTTGAGGCGGGTGCGCGAGGAGAAGGAGGCGCGCAGGCGGGCGCTGAGAGACAAGAAGAAGATCACCTTCGACCTGCCACAGCAGCTCAATCGAAAGTGGGACGAGATGAATTTGATGAGACTCATGAAAATGATAATGACGATGAAGAAATACAATCCCGATCAGGTGGCACAGCAAATTGCACCAGAAAAGGAGAGATTGGAGTATGAGAGGATTAAGAAGGTCATCATAAGGCAGTCCTTTGCGAAAATCGACGAGGAACTCATTGATATAAGGAGGAGATTGATGCCAGTGCAAGAGACACTAGTCGATCGTCGAACTCTGATTAAAGATCTCCTGGAGGAGATTTTGACACAGAAATTCGATTACAACACATTTCAGGAAGAAACCCTCAAGGAAATTTCTCTCTACCAAAAGAATGCCAATTTGAGCTTCAACGATATCATGGCCAGAGGTCGAAAGAGCCGCGAGGTGATTGAGAAAAGCTTCGGAAATACACTCCATCAGGATTTGTACGTCATCATGTGGTGATCATGAAACATAATAAAAATTTTCCACTTTCAGATATGAAGAGCAGAAGAGATTTCGCCACGGCATTAAGAAATCCACTCAGGATTCGGCATCGCGAGTGGAGTCTTCAAGAGCAAGTCGTCGCGCTCGATCAGTCACATTTCCCGATGACGTTAAATCTGAGGAGTAAAAGTGATCAAGTTGAAATTTCACTGCGCAACAAATTGCTCCATCATCCAAAAATCTCAATTGGCAACACACAATCAATTTTACCACTAATTTTCCCTAAAAACAGCACAGTTTGCCAGAGCCTCGCACATATATTGGCTGTTGATGAGAGAAAGTCTACCGGAAAAGTAGACAAATTGTCAATGAATCTACATTATGATCATTGTTTAACCATTTTTTTGCAGTTTCTTCCTTTTCGGGACATTTTCCTAGAGTGGTTTTGAATTTACGATTAAGAATCCCATTTCACAAGAACAACTTCACCGTGAACTTTTCCTCTTTCCATTGGCAAAAACCTTGGATTGTCTTTTGAATATGGAAAAAAGTCTCCAATTGGAACGTGTTTTTCTCTTCACCACCACCAAAATCGTTTTAGCTTGAGCACCAGCGATGAAAGAGACATGACAATAAAATTGTATTGAAGCATTGCAAGAAGTAAAAAGTGGTGATTTTTGTGTGAAACACCCAAAACGGGCGTGCATGAATTTGCTCAATGGAAAACACTTTGCATCAGGGAGAGATCACTATGTGTGAGAGAAGAAAAAAAAAGCGCGGCATGAAAAGATTGAACTGTCGGGAGAAAGATTACATTGTTTAATTTGCAAGACGTGGTACACTGGCTTCTCTCCAACACTTTTCCAGTTCCCTCTCATTACTGCCTACCTCTGGCCACATCGCATCAATATTGTTTGAGTGAGTGCGAGAGACTCCAAAGAAGAGTAGGGAGGTCGTCAAAAGAAAAGAGGATCGCGCACGGCATCAGCAGTTAGTTCAGTGTAAGTCAAGTCTTTGGTCAGAACGTGGTCTCTTTTACAAGCAAACACCGCTAAATTTCTGCATCACTTTGGACGGAGATCTCTCCTCGTCGCCAAACTCTCCGACCCATAAGTTATTGACGGTTTTATAATTGTTAAGAGTGAAAAAAAACATATTAATTTGTTAATTATGAACAAATTTACTGTCGTTCTCGCTATAACTGCATTGATCGCTTCAGAAGCCAGTGAGTTGTTATTTTGCCAATAAAAATTATTCATAAATTCGCTCTACTAAATTTAATGCACACTCTCCACTCATGAGGACCGTGATCGCGGAATTCAACTCATTAAAAACCCATTCACACCCCTTTTCGCAAATAACAATCTATAAATTTTTCATCACGCACCCACATGATAAAATCTGTGCCGAAAATATTCATTAAAGCCCGCCCAATATGAAATGGTGTGCAAGTTCATTAAAAATCTCATGCAATATCCATTAAGAAAGTTTCAAAAGTGCAATTGGGAGTCGAAAGGATGGGCATTGGAGAGTCAATAAATTGCAAGATAACCAATTTCGGCCCACACGAGAGAGAGACAGGGCGATCTATTAGTGATCTGCCGTGAAATAATAAAATGCTCACACAGAAAATTATATAAAATGCCTCGTTAAAATTGCTGAAAGTTCAAATAAACTGGTTTGTTGTATAAGAAAATTACTGGTCAGACACATTGGACTTTTTAAACGGATGTGTGGCTCCCAAGGAATTTTAAAAGGCATTTTCTTCTTTCCCAAAAATAAATACATTACTCTCTCACTCCAATATTTAATCTCCCTCTTTTTTTTGTCTTCAACTCAATACCAACTCGTTTTCCTCCCATGTTCGACATTTTCTTTTACTTGTCTTTTTACCTCAAAGTGTCCATTGTTGAAAGAGACACTCTTTTTTCCCAAGCACAATCAATATATACGACCAGTTGATTATGAAACGCCGCATTCAGTGTCATTGAATTCTGTCTGAATTTGTCGCTTTGGGGCATGTATAATGCGAACAACATCATTTTTTCTCATTATGAATTTTCACTTTCTGCCATGGCTTTTGCTTTCATTGAGAGGTTGCTAACACTCACCATGCCAAAGCCTCTTTCTCTCCTTCGCGCTCATACGCAAAATACACAGCCACACAACGTCAGGTAATTGCATCTAATCGCTCCCTATTAACTCTCATTTTTTACTTGCCTCTCATTACTCCACATCGATCTGGCGGGGCGGCCGAAGTTGATGATCGAGAAATGTCCATTTCTCTCGATTCGGGGATTCGATTTTCCTGATTGCCAAGAGCATTTTCGCCCGTGCACTTCTCGGGAAAGAGACGCGAGCCTAAAGAGAGAGAAATACAGAGGCACAAAGCGTTTTAGAAAGTTGTCGTCAAGTCACACACACTGAATATATTAATAAATTCTCAACATTCGCACACACAACTTGATTTCCATGGCTCATGGCATTTGATCATTCCTCTCACACCTGATCATTCTTCACGCAGGGCACTAGTAAATTGATCAATGCACAGAACATATTTCAAATAGTCTGCGCACAATCTATTCTATATCGCCACAAATCAGCCAATTAACTGTCGCCAATCGTTGTCATGTGAGTCACAGAACATTCTTTTTTTTGCATTCTCCGCAGGTGCTCAGAATTTCAAATGCCCCCCAAAAGACGGCCAGTATGAGGATTCCGTTCAGTGTGACAAATACTATGAATGCGTAGACGGTGCAGCTGTAGCGAAACTCTGCCCCGATGGTCTGGTCTTTGACCCAACCATCAGGAAAATCAACAAATGTGATCAGCCCTTCAATGTTGACTGCGGAGACAGGACAGAACTTCGTAAGATCGATCGCAATCGCCTCAACTGCAAAGGAGTAATGATTTGATGTGTCCTTTTGCAGAACCACCAAAGGGAACTCACATCTGTCCCAGGAGGAATGGATTCTTCGCCCATCCTGACGCCACCATCTGCAATATCTTCTACAACTGCATAGAGGGAGATTACACAGAGATCACGTGCACGGCTGGACTGCACTTTGACGAGTACACAGGCACTTGTGTCTGGCCAAACACCGCTCAGCGTCAGGGATGCCAAGACAAGAGCAGTGAGTTCATGACAATTCACTATCTTCATCAGAATCTCACGCATTTTCTTACCTTCGCAGAGGAACTCAAGGATGGATTCACCTGCCCCAAAGAGCCCGCAGTCGACTCCACCGGCCAGACTGTGGCTCATCCCAAGTATCCTCATCCCACAGACTGCCAGCGGTTCTACGTGTGCCTCAACGGCATTGAGCCTCGTGATCTTGGCTGTCAAGTCGGTGAGGTCTACAACGATGAGACTCAACGCTGCGACGCCCCCGAAAATGTGCCAGGATGCGAAGATTGGTACGCCGCATCGGACGAGAAGAAGAACTAGAATGAGATAGAGCGTGATTGGAGTATTAGTCTATCTTCTGCCCTTGAGGAGGATTCAAAGAATACTTTAGAATTGAGCTCTCAACCAATCCTGCCACAAATCACAATTCAAGACAGACTGTAAATACAATTAATGTGTTTATAAAGGGATTTCAGAAATTTGTCCATATTCTATCAATTCAAATAAATCATGTACTAAAAGAGAATCTCAAGCACTCTTCATTTGCAACGTCCACACAGTTTTTGTGAGCTTTTCAGCACTGGTGAATAGCCCCGTTTTGAAAGACGATGAGGAAGCTCACCAACGAATCGGTTAACCGCATGGGCGGCACAAAAAACGCGCTCCCCCCAAAAAGCGCACGATTTTCTCCACTCTCCAAAATGAATTATACTTTACCACCCAAACTACGTGCCTCCATAAAGCTCCCGCCATCACCTGGTGACTCTATACTTGGCTCACAAATCCACCTCAGCCACAGTCAGTCGACGGCCAGCCACGGATCAGATCGCTGATCTCAACGCACTTCGGGACAAATTGATCTTTTCAACTCACTCCTCAAGCGCTCGCCAATCATCCTCGTGAAACACATACTTGAAACGCGATCGTGTGGTGAAGAAAAAAAAAAGAATGAATTACTTAACAGTCCTTTTAGTGGTTGCTTTTAGTGTTTTAGGTGAGTGTGTTTTTTTTGCAACATAATTGCACGTATCTTACATGACTTCCTCGACAATTTATTCAATTTCTTCTTGATCATTATGCAACACCTCTGCAATCATTATTATTTCCCCTCTAAGCATCCCAATTTCCATCACAATCCACCAGAATGGTGGTGCCCACACGAAGAAATTAGTGTGAGCTGACTGTATTCAAATCACGTTTAACAAGAGGTGAAGGCAGTTCACCTCGTCGCCAAAAACCGTTCACCATCCTATTTTTTGTGCCTCTCCTTACCACCGAAAATGTGATTTCTTCGTCTATTCCAACTCTTTTTCACGCGAGGCCACAATGCATATCTTTTATCACTTGAGGAAACAAGAGAAATCTCGCGTCTTATCCACCGAATTGAATTGTTTGTCTTTTCACTGAAACTCCCATGCAAAACAGTGTAAATAGAAAAGCATAAAATCATACATTTCGAGATCTTGAGCATCAAGAGAGCAAGAAAAAAAAATCCTCCACTGGAGATCAATATTATCTATCGTTCGTTTGACAATGCAAAAGTCAATAGAAACACACATTGTTCTCGCATTTTTGCACTCTCAGCGCTCTCAACACCTCAGCAAGAGATTTTCCTATCTTTGAATTATTCAAACAATTCTCACTCTGCATATATTATGACTATTTTTAAAAGTTAATTGGCGCTTTGTCAAGACAAACTGATAAAAACTCGTTTGATCAGAACATGTTCCGGGCCGCCACTCGAAAACTCACTCTAAATCAAAGCGCGCAATCTCATGAAAAGCATATCAGAAAATCGCCAAACTCAGTATGGCTCTAAAATTACCCACAGCAATGCAATGGCAAACTGAAAGTGTTTGGAGAAGAAAGTTACTTATGCTCGCCTGCAGTGTCAAAGAAGATGATGGGACGATGAAAAATTGTGCTGCGAAATTGCATCTCAGTGTCTCCAGATTTTTACACTTAACATTTGGTCTCTCTCTCTCGCTCTTTTGCTGCAATTATCAATTGCATAATCGCGTATTGCACTTTTTCCATTTGCTCCAGTTCACTTCACATGCCGTAACTTGGAATTTATTTAGAATTGAAAGTCTTTTGAAACAATACTTAAAGGTCAAATACCTGAAGTAGGGGAAAGGTGGATGCGATGCTATCGCGTCCTCATCCTCTATATTGCGTGCATAAATAATTCAGGAAATTCTCTACTGATCATTAATCAATCAGTCGAAACTGAGTGAGAGTGATAATGAATTTCAATGAAAGCGTGCGAAAGAAATGTGGCAGATATGCAAAAATCATACCAAAAGAGAGCTCTTTTGTAAGTCTGATAATTCTAGAGCGTAAAGCAATATAAATTCAATTACAACATTCTTTTATATCAACTTTTCCATATGAAATTCAACACGAAAATATTGCCACCAATAGACTGTGAAACGATAAAGTAAATCATTGTGAAATTTGATACTTTTACCTTCATGATATTATTGTTAACAAAGCGTGGAATCAATCATCAAGTAAAAGCTCATGAACTTGCCAGTCTTAACCTTTACTCACATCAACTTCACGATTTGCTTCCCAGGCACTTATGGCGCCCCAACAACGTGTCCTGAGCCCTTCGGAGAACAGGCTTACGCCCATCCTGAGCACTGCGACCAGTTCTTCCTCTGCACCAACGGCACCCTAACGCTGGAGACTTGTGAGAACGGGCTGCTGTTCGATGGCAAGGGTCACGTGTACAATCACTGCAACTACAACTGGGCCGTCGACTGTGGCGTCCGCAAACACGACCGTGAGTCTAGCCATTTGACATGATGTGGCAAGGAATTCCTGAAAATGTTATGTTAATTGCAGCCACGCCACTCTCGTCTCCCGGCTGTGAGTATCGCTTCGGCATCTATCCGGATACGGATCAATGCTCCACGACGTATGTCAAGTGCGCTCACGGAGAGCCTCACCTGAAGCCATGCGACGACGGGCTGGTGTATGACGATCGCATCCACGGATGCAACTGGCCAGATCAGCTGCTGGAGAAGTGCGACCCAACCGCCGTTGTGGGCTTCGTCTGTCCCGCTCACGTGCCATCCCATAGTGCCGCTGCCCGATTCTGGCCTTTCCCACGATTCCCCGTGGCCGGAGACTGCCACCGGCTCATCACCTGCGTCGAGGGCCATCCGCGTCTCATCACGTGCGGCGAGGACAAGGTCTTCGACAAGAACACCCTCACATGCGAGGAGGACATCCCATGCGTTCCCTAGACAGCTTCCCGCCACCAATTCTTGCCTTCAAAGAGGAAAGAAAAATACTCAAGATTAGAAGAAAGACACCAAAACGTCAGAGAAAGGGAAATTCGTTACCATTTCACGTAAAAGTGAACTTTCATGTACATAACACAACACTATTTTCTTCGCAATTCGCCACAATGTTACTTTTCCCTGTAGAAGCGGAGAAGCCAGCTTTTTCGGACGCCCCGGCACGAAAGTGCGCCGCCGAGAGTCCAATAAACTATTGCAATATCACCAATTCATTGCTCCCGTTTTGCCGCCACTTTTCCTCATACAGTGAAAATACACACAACTTCTCGTTTTCTTTTACAAACACACCTCTTTTTTCCTCTTCCAACTCACACGAACATCTTTCCTCTTATACCACCCTCGAGCATGCATAATAGGGCAAGAGTGAGAAAAAATACTCATAATTAAGTGTCTGATAATTCCGTACATACAAGATGCATTTAATCACGTTCATTGAAGCGTTTCAAATATTCTTGCTGGACTCTGTAGGAGGTGTGATTTCTCCAGAAAATGATTGCTAAATCAATCCCAATCACATAGAAAAAAAAGTGTACTCAAGAGAGAAATATTGTATTTTTCTTCATTAAAATTATACGATTGAGCTAAACATAATCCAAAGTGTATTTCATTGCTAATTACCTCATTTGCGTACATTTCACCACACACAGGTGAAGGTTCGGCGCAGTTGGATGGACTTCCCTTCCAAGAAAACCACTGTTTAGCGAGAGTCGGAAGGCGCAAAAAGCGCGCTGATTTGTCAATAAGATTGTGTGGAATAATTTATTCTCATCCGCACTGCTTATCACGCACATGGCATGATGAATTGCAAAATATGCGACATTTAGGGATGGTTTTTTAGCGATTCCTAGAGGAACTTTGACCTTATCATTATTAAATTAACCGCAAAGCGGCGAAAACATAGTCAATTACGTGTCTTTTCACCATTTGCAACGCACTCCCTGTGATTCACTCTTATATGAATCTTGTAAAACTCCAAAATACCTTGGCTTTTCACATATTTTATCATTTTATCCATCCTTTATTTTCCAATATGTAATATGTAACCTTTCTCTGCTTACCCTCCTCAATATCTGTAGTGGTCAGGCTTGTAGGGTCCCTCCTGCGGCACGTTCAGGTACTTTGCCTGTTTCTCGCTCAGCTTCGTCAGCTTCACACCCAGTTTGTCCAAATGCAGCGCCGCCACTTCCTCATCCAGCTTCTTGGGCAGCATGACCACTCCCACCTTGTACTGATCCTTCTTCGTCCACAGCTCGATCTGCGCCAGCACTTGATTCGTAAAGGAGTTGGACATGACGAAGCTCGGATGTCCCATGGCACAGCCCAGATTCACCAGTCGCCCAGCGGCCAGGACAATCACGTGATTCCCGTTCGACAGCGTGTAGCGATCAACCTGAGGCTTGATGCTCACCTTCTCCACGGCATTCTTGTCCAGCCAACTCACATCGATCTCACAGTCGAAGTGGCCAATGTTGCATACAATTGAGTCATCCTTCATGTTCATGAAGTGGCGCTCCTCGATGATACCATGGCATCCCGTCGCTGTGACGTAGATTGTGGCCTTTGTGCTGGCCTCTTCCATCGTTGTCACTTCGTAGCCCTCCATGGCGGCCTGGAGAGCATTGATGGGATCTATTTCGGTGATTAGCACCCTGCCGCCGAAGCCTCTCAGGGCCTGGGCGCATCCCTTGCCCACATCTCCGTATCCAGCCACCACGCACACCTTCCCGGCGATCATCACGTCCGTGGCACGTTTAATGCCATCAATCAGCGACTCACGACACCCATAGAGGTTGTCAAACTTGCTCTTGGTCACCGAGTCATTCACATTGATCGCCGGCACGGCGAGTTTCCCCTCCTGGAGCATCTTGTACAGATTATGGACACCCGTGGTGGTCTCTTCGCTGATCCCACTGATTCCCTTGAGGAACTGCGGGAACTTCTCGTGCACGAGATTCGTCAAGTCACCGCCATCGTCCAGAATCATGTTCAGTGGCTGACCATCTTTGAACACCAGCGTCTGCTCGATGCACCACAAGTACTCCTCCTCCGTCTCCCCCTTCCAAGCATACACAGGCACTCCGGAAGCCGCGATCGCAGCAGCAGCGTGGTCTTGAGTGCTGTAAATGTTACAGCTCGACCATTGAACCTGAAAAAGCCAAACAAATCGTTTATTCAAGGTGAAACTCTACTTTTTTCCCAGCTTTATAATATAATTTTAATTGGTCTTCATTAATCAGGGGAAAAATGCGAAATTTACGAGTAAAATCTCATTATAACAATACATCTACAATAGAAGAATGATAACCCTATCAGGCGTTCTAGTTTCTTATTCCGGTATCTCATTATCTCTACTTTCAGGTCGCAAACTGTGCACGTTTCATTGCCCATAAAATCTATTCAGAGACAGGAACGATTTCCGCGCAGCATCACAATGAATAAGCACAAATGGAGAGTATTAGAGATAAGATGACCCCCGCGAAATCTCAGGGGGTCAGAGTCATGACGCGTTACTGCCCCATATCACGCCCAGAAATAGCCACTGTCTCTGTGCATCACGTGATTCAACGGGAAATCATTACCTCAGCTCCCAGCTCCACGAGAGTCTCAATGAGGACCGCCGTCTGGATGGTCATGTGCAGACACCCGGCAATCCTGGCGCCCTTCAGGATCTTCTGTGGTCCATACTTGGCGCGGCACGCCATGAGGCCTGGCATCTCGTTCTCCGCCATAATGATCTCCTTCCGGCCAAAATCCGCCAGGGACATGTCCGCTAAACAGGAAGACACAAAGTAACCTCAATGTTAGTGGCGCCGGGAAAACTCCCTTCGCTAATCGCCTCACTTACCAACTTTGAAGGGTACCTTAGCCATGTTTGTTCTGTGTTGAGATGCTACTGCTGTCAGGGAATAAGAACTACTAAATCGTGGGGAATTTCAGCGGCTTCTGGACGCTCTAAACGTGCTTGGAAGATACCCAAAAAAAGAGAGACAACTCGATCTCAGCGCCATCAAGTGGAGACATAGAATTTCCATATAATCCCGCCAGAGAGCTATACCCACAATATTCCCCTGAAAAATACTGAACTTGAAATTTTCATGCTAATCCGTAAAAACACGCATACGAACGTAGCTTTCAGGGCATATTTTTTACAAATCACCTAAATTTTACGTTTTTCGAATGACACACACTGGGTCAAGGCACAACCGTAGCGAAATATGCATATTTCCTCTGTGCATCTTTGAAACTTTCACACCGGCCCCTCCCCTCATTCTGCACACCGAAACGCCGAAAAAACTACTAGAATCACCCCGCCGAACTCACAGCATCCAACATGGCGGACGAAAAACACCCAAATTTGGTGCAGTTTCGTCATTCAGTGCGCAGAAGTAGATGTCGCTTCGTGAGCTTTCCAAAAAATTGCCCATTTGTGTTTTTCTCATGACTTTAATTTAAGAAAAAGGCGTCGAAATACATGTCCTCAGAGTCTTGCATTAATGGTAATGCATGCTAGAAAACTTCAACGTAGCGATGGGTAATATACATCTTTCATTATTTACGTGCTTTCCCCTCAAATTTCACCCCAAATTTGCCATGGCATTTTTTCACCTCCTACAGGAATTATTTTACCTTTTCCACCCAATCTTGCAGGAAAATGTAACTTTTGCCCCCATTTAGACTCTTTGCAGGCCCCCCGGTATATTTTTCTCATCAAGTAATAGTGATTTTTCTGTTTTTCAGGTATTTCGATAAACATCCCCATCCTCATCCCTACCAGGTAAATAAATCAACACTTTTTCCGCCTATTTAATTATATAAACTTGTATATTTTGCCCTATTTCTCTTCCCCGGGGGCCCCCCTAGAGCGTGATACTGGGTTTCTCAGGGGATTTTGCCTTTTTCTAGATCAATTTCTGCAAAGAAATCTCACCTGTCAAACTTCAGGTGAAATTCAATATTTCTCCATGTTTGACACCTAATTTGCTGAGAAAATAGCTTTGACTTCCCAGAAAAGCACCCCGTGGAGTTGATTGAGGGATCTGTGGGTGTCTCCGTGGGGTTTTCCGCGGGAAAAGCGCTCTGAAGTGGGTTGACTGGGACACAACCTAGAAAAGATGTTGCAAGCGCCACCACATCAACTTTTCATGAAGTCTCTTCCCGGAACGGAAGCCAAACACAAGCGATTTCCCAACGAAAAGTCATCCGGCCCATGAAATAACGCGCTTTTCTTGTCTTTCCTTGCAGAACTCAAAGTATAAGAGAGACTATGAGAGAGAGGCTAGCAGATCCAGCAGTTATTTACGCGACAGGGACTCTTCTCCGACATCCGGAGGAGCCGGAAGCGGTAACAGCTCCCTAAACAATGGTAATTCTCCCGTTTTTGTCCGCCAAATACACCGCAAAGAGAACACACTCCAATCAAGTCGCTTTTTTCAGGCAACAACTACAGATTTGCATCCCCGGAACTGGATTCTCCGCCCCGTGAGAATCGCTATCGCGACTCAGATAGATGCACAAGTTTTGTAATGAGAATGAGAGACAAGGAACGCGATCGGGACTCCTACAAAAAGGATAAATATATAGGTAAGCCACAGACTTGATGAATTTGCAGGCAATTGGTCTGCCTTCTTTCACTCTTCCATCCATTCAATTACGCTCAATTGAGATACAATCTTGAAGCACTCTTCCTCGGCTTAGATTCAAATTCACGATTTTCACGAGTCTCACAGAGTGAGAAACCGTTTCGCGAAATTCACTGGCTTTGTCTAATGAAAAGAGCAGAGATTATCAATTACTGAGAAGACATTTAAGTGATTTCCATGAAAAGAGAGTAATTGCTTCAAGATCTGAAACGAGTGACCAGATGGGCAGGTTTCGCAGAGAGGAAAAGGTTCTTGAACCAAGCATCAATTACAGTTCAGTCGGTTCTTAATCAAGATACTTTGAAAGTGAAGTATTCTATTGAGTTTCAAGAACGCATGCAAGTCTAGGCAATTTATCTGCTCTGTGTTCTTATCACTGACTCACTAAAATCCCATTTTCTCCCGATCTTGCAGTGCTTGAATAATTCATTTCATTGAGAATTTATCTCTTTAGCAATGAAACTATTCGCACAGAGTCTGTGCTTCTGTGTAAAGATAGTTTGTGGTGTGTTGAGGAGAAAAACAATAGCATGTATGATGTTTAAAATTGCAGATTGCTTGCGATCACCGAAGGACAAGCGGGATCGCCGTGATCGTGATTCTGAGCATCGAACAAATCACGATCGAATTGATCAGTCGCGGCGCTCATCGAAGGTGTGCGTGAGCGAGAAGCGCTCGGGCTCGAATGACCGGGAGCGGGACAGGGATCGCGACAGGGAGCGCGATCGCGAGAGGATAACGCGCGTGGGAGACTGGAGCGAACACACGTCGTCATCGGGCAAGAAGTATTACTACAACTGCAAGACAGAGGTGTCTCAGTGGGAGAAGCCGCGCGAGTGGGTGGAGCGCGAGAGGGGCGGCTCGCTGAAGGAGCAGCAGCATCCGCCGTCGCGGAGCAGTGACTATCGGGACAAGGAGCGGAGTGAGCGCGATGACCGCTTCTCGCGGTCGTCGTACGGCAAACATTCCAGTTCGCGCAGCAGCAGCGGCAGGATGCGCTGGACCCACGATACTGACGGCCATCGGCGGCGTCACGACGACAGCCAGGACATGGACATCAGTCCGGGCGACTCCACACCCACCTCGGAGGGCAACTACTCACACTCCAGCACACCCACGACGCAGCAGTCGCAGCAGCAGCATCATCATCACAACAGCGACGGGAGCAGTGCGCTACCGAGGCTCGCGTCTCATCCGCCGGTGACGCCCACCAACTCGCACATGCAGCAGCAGCATTTCACGATCCCATCGTCAGCCACGCTTGCCGGCACGGCCACAGCGACCAGTGCCACGGCGGCGGGCATGAAGATGAAGGGCGCTGATCATCACCACCTCAGCTCCATGCCGGTCTCTTCGCCGTCCTCGTCGACGCTGACCGCTTCCTCAGCCGGGCTGTGCCTGACCCTCGCCACCAGCGTCACGCAGTCCCAGACATCGGTCACGGGTGATATTGTGATGAACTCCAACACGCCGGGACCACCGCCAGTGTCGCTCGCGAATCTGCCCAAGATCCTGTCGCAGATCACGGGCAACAAGACACTGGACCAGACGGAGCTCAACCCACAGAAGGCGCTGCAGACCATCAACAATGCCCTCATGATGTCCTCGCGACAGCAACAGCATCAGCACGTCTCCATCGCGGGAGATGGCAGCAATTCTAACAGCATCAGGTGAGTGGAAACTTGAGAAGACTGCGTACTAATGCAACGCTAATGCTCCTGTGCTTGGCTTTGCAGGGATCACGTCCTGAATTCTCCACTCTACAACCTCCCACACTTGCACACAATGTCCCTTCTCAACCACACCACATCCGGGAGTGTTTTCAGCAGTGCAATGACCCAAGGGTCCCAGAGCGGATCAGGGGGATCCGTGAAGATTGATACGAGCGGAAATAGTTTAGTTCTCGGCGATGGACCGCCAACGCCGACACAAGAGATGGATGTTCTCAATTCTGAGCACAAGAAATGTAAGGGAAAGACGCCCAAATGTTGTACATGAGATCTTGTTTTGTAAACAATTTCGCTCTGCTTTTGCAGTGGATGGGACATCAGCTACACTGAGTAGCCTCCAAGGAGTGACATCGCAGGTGTCGAGATCACTAGGGCCTAGCTTAACACCAAGTCTTGCAAATTACTCACGGGCAGATCTAATACAACACGTGACAAATTGGCCAGCAGATTTACTGGAGAAACAGGTGAGAATGCGGAATTTCAATAGCAGCAATAACAATTTGGGCATTTGGAAACTTTCACTGTGATGAATTTCAGGGACAAAAGTGTTCGGAAGAGACTCACATTTTGGGTGATCTGCAGTGCACGAAGATATCTGCTGACTTGAAAATTGCCCGAAGTATAGTTAGAATCACAGAAATACAATCAACACTGCATGAACAAAAGTAAGTATGACCTTTTATTTCTCATTTAAAGTACATTCTAACAGGTTTGATTTAATTATTTCCCAGAATAATGTATTTACGACAACAAATTCGACGATTAGAGGAATTAAAATCACAGAATTCGTTTATGTCTGACGATCTTTAGCCTCATTAATTTATATAAAGAATAAAATTTTGGAAGAAAAACAGCAAGAATACTAATAATTTGTAAAAAATTATTGGATAAGACATCATTTAACAACATTTTAACAGTGTGACAAAGGCACATTATGTCCATAAATTTCTTCACATGTTCAAAAAGAGAGAAAAAAAGGAAAAACTGAGGCAGAACAATATATGAGAATTTTTTTTAAAGAACTGCAAGACACTCTTCCCTCCCGAAGAGTAAATAGGATTTTACTTCTAGGACAACAAGAGATGAAAGAAAGATGAGAGAACATCATAGGTGGGCTATATAGAAATCGGTGGGGAAATAAATATGATATAAAGTATATATATATATATAAAAATTGAAAAAGGAGAAAAAAATTTAGATGATCGTAAATAAAGTAAGAATTATATTAATTAAAATGAAAAAAAGTCTACTATTATTAAAAATGCAATTACAAAAGCACTGAATTTTTTACAGAGATGATGATGAAAAAGAATATTTAAAAATAGTGAAGAATATCCCGAAATCATGCAAAATAATACCAATTTACAATTACTGAAAAAAATAACAATGATATAAATTGAAGCAGAATATATAGCAAAATATTAGTGATTCTTTTGTGTACGTTTCTTCTTTCTTTTTATAATGTGTAAAAGAATATTTAATGAATATATAACAAAAATATGTATCTACAAACTTTTAATATTTTTCACAGAACACAACTGTTAAAGTAAAGAAGAAAACAAACATACAAAAACTACACATAAGAAATAAACAATAGTGAAAAAGGCAAAGGAACAAAATAATGTCTAGGTGTTATCTTTTTTTTCAATGGTCTTTTTAAATCGTCTGTTTTTTTTTACTATCTATTTGGTTAATCCAAAGTAAAGGTAAAAACTAAAACTGCAGATATTTCCTCAACTTTTAGAGAATGAGTAAAAATATAAAAGAAAAATATGCTGTTCTCGTATTTTATCCAAAAAAAAATCATTTTAAAAATATTAATGAAAAAAACATATAATAACAAAGTAAAATAGATGGTAATGGCTGTAGGCAAAATGATAAAAAAAAAATTTCCAATATATTTATTTCTTCGTTAGAGAAGTCAAAGAAGAAAAGAAATAAAATATGATGTGAAGGTAAATTTTTTCAGACTAATCGAGAGTTTAATAACGATAAAACACAATCTTAAAGTGAGATGAGCTGATAAAGAATAACGATGAGAAGGCACTTCTGATAAAAGTAGAGGATAAAATAATGTCGGTGGCGTGAAAGATTCTTTTTATAATAAAAAAATAACTATTATTTATTGTGTAATTCTATATAGACAACTTTTTTATATATAAATTAGTGATTAAATTATTTTTCTTATTGACGTTCATTTTTATTTTTTTTAATCATGAAACACACAAAAGTGAAAACACAATTTGTAATAGAACGTATAGAAAAAAAACTAAATAATAACCTTAACTGACGAGAAAATATAGGTGAAATAAAAAAAAGAGAAAGAAGAAAGGATATTTCAATGAATCAAAAATTATAGGCAAAAATGTGTTTATGAAGAAAAAAAAATGTAATAAAGTATTTCAGATAACATAAGATACCGAAAAACAACAAGAAAATCTGCTATTTATTTCTTTTTTTAAAGCTCAAATTAACGAAAAGTTTTTTTTGGTTTGCGCATTCGCCCAGTGTTATTGTCTGTAAACACTATTTCGCCCTCAATATCTGGATGTGTATGTAAAATTTTGCATAGATGAATGAAAATTTCGTGATTTTCTTCTATTTTCTATCATAATTAATTCACTCTGTTTGGCGAATGAATGACTTTATTCTTCTCATTGGAGAAGTGAAGATGAGAGAGAGAGAGAGTAAAAGAGTGGTTTTATTGAAGAGAAGGAGAGTTGAGATGAAAGATAAAGCATCTATTATTAAATGTAAGTCTTATTTTAGGAAAGATATAAAATCTAGAAAATAAAATGAAAGAGAGAATGAAACACGATTAATATTGGCTCGGGCATAACCTCTTTGTAGTTAGTCCCAAATAAAAGGATAAAATATTACAAAAAACTGATATAATAAAGAAGTAAACAAATTTTAAAAGTCATTACAATCTGTCTTGTGCTGGACTACAAATTGTCTACTATGGCTTTGATGATGTCGAAGGCGTCTCTGGCGGTGGCTTCGATGTAGGACGGCGGCAGGAGGAAGCCATGAGTGCCGGTGTCCCTCAGTTCCAGTGTGTAGCTGTACGGAATCCCAGCCATGTTCAGCATGAAAGCGTCCGCAGCTCCTGGCCTGGGGAAGAGCATCTCATCGGCGTCATCCACGAGATATCTATTGAGACTACTGTGTCCATGCAGCGCCTGAGCGGCAACGTACGCCATGTCCACCAAGTCCTCACTTCTGCCTCGCATCTCCTTTGGGACACTAATCATCTGCCCATAAGCGTGAAGGGAGAGAAACACTGTGATTCTCTTGTTATTCTTCATGACAAAGTTCTGCAATGCATTGCTTTCTGGCTCTGAGAATGCCTTTGGACCACTGTAGAGATCCCCACAGGGCTTCCCAGTGACGCCCTTCTTACTCCACTCATAGTTCCAGTTTCTATTGAGATCAACGCCCGTGCAGTTAAGACTCTCCTCCGTGTTGTCTGCCTGAAACCAATTCCAGAAGGACATGCTCGAAAAGAAACCACCTTTCTCCAGTCTTGGCTTTGATCTTGTCTTCCGCCAGAGTCTGTCGTGCGTGTGGCTGAATTCATATCCATCAGGATTAAGCACAGGAACCACCAGCCAATCCACTGATTTGTAAATCTCACTCAGGGGCGTATCCTGACCAATGTTCTGAGCCAAAGTGTTCAGGATCCACATTGCCACAGCTGGAGCGATCCATTCCCTCCCGTGACTCCCTGCCTCGATCAAAACCACTGGTTTTGCGTACTTTCTCTCAGCCAAGCGCTTCCTAGCACTCTTTTCACTCTTCAGCTCCATCGTGCCGTTGCTCCCTGAGAAGATCTTCGCCATGATTAAGGGCAATCCCTCAGAAGATCTGCCGAAGTGGTTCAATTCAACATTCTGAGGATAGCTTCTCTGCAGAAACTCGAGAAATTTCACAATATCATCAAATCTGTGGTATCTGTAGAAAGTCACAGGGTGACCCTGTTCAGATTCTATCTCATACTGTTCCCTCCTGGTCATTCTCGGATTGGAGTAAGTTATAGCCTTCTGAAGATCCGAAATCACCACTTCGAATACAACTCCCTGACTCTTGAGCGTCTCCTCAATGAATGCCAAAGATTCCGGAGGAACAACCAAATCCGTTGGGCCACGAAGACTTGGACCTTTCCACCACTGACACTTCGTGCAGTCTGAAGACTCCCTGAGATTTGTGAGAAGCCTCACTTGCCAGGTATTGGAAGGTCTCAATCTCCACAGCTGAAAATTGCTATAATCCACCATTTTCGCCGAGTTCTGGCCAATATTTCCATTAGCTACAGGCTCAGGTGCCTCCGTGGTGACCAAATGTTGTGCCAAGAGAGCAATAAAGTTTCCAGGATCATAAGGATTCAGTGTGGTCGTTGTAGATTTTTCAGTTGTGCTCGTTGTTGTCGACGAAGAAGGGAAGATATTGAAGTACCAAGGATTCGACTTTGTTGATGACTCTGGAAACTCTGTGGTTGAGTCATCTCCTCCAAACCAATTCCCCAAATCTGGCCACATTCCTTTATCACCTTTACTACTGTCTGTCGTGTGGCTCTCTTCTTTGTTCTCCAGATTATTACGCGTCCTTATCTCATCTGTGTAGCCATAAATGTCGTGGAAATCGTAGTAATTCTGGGCCGGTCTCTTCGGCCGCCGAGTCCTGGGAGTTGTACTGGGCGCTGCACTCACGCCGCTAGGCTCTTTCCACTTTCTTCTGCCGCCCAATCCAATGAGTGACGTCAGGAAGCTCCCGAGACGTGACATTAGATCCCCAAAGTAGTCAAAAACTCCTCCCTCCTGGGCAGGACTGCCGTACTTGAATGTATCTTCCAAAGAGAAGTCCTCATCGTCCTTATCATCATATTCTTCATCATCATAATCCTCATCGCTGTAATCTGAGGCGTCGGAAGAATCTGAGGAAGGTCGCTGCTTTTTCTTCTTGGTAACCAGTGAGTTTTGATTCACGGGTTTTACCTGTTTGATGGAAGAATTCTAATTAGAACGTTGGCGGTGATGTTCAAATTGGAATATTTCACATATGTTTAGTGTGCTTGTTCATGTTTCACCTGTTTCACCCATGTTTCAATGAGATTTCGCTCAATTCAAAAATATCTGAATCAGACCGGAATGATGTTCTTATTATCAATTGTATACATATTCAGAAGATGAGACTTTCATAAAAGAGAAGTGATAATAATTCATTGAGAGGCAAATCAGTCAACAGCAACATAAACACTCATTAACTCATCAATTAAGATTAATTGAGCGTGTAATTTGAATCATTTTGCACTGACTAAACGAGTAAAGATAAGAAATATTCAATTCAATACATAAATAATTTCATTTTCACCTGAACAGGTCTCTTATTGATCTCCGTTGTGGGTCTATTCCTCACAGGTGGACTCTCTCCAGAATCTTCCTCGCTCTCCTCACTGTCCTCATCGTCCTCCTCGTCGTAGTACAAAAAGTCATCGTCATAGTATTCTTCAGAACTCTCAGAGATCTTAACACGATCACTGGAGATTGGAATCGTAGCCTGAGTCATTGGCTCATACTCATTCGTGACGTGAACTTCAGTGGTTATCAATTTACTCCCATTTGGAGACTTTTTAGTGCGTTTCTTTACATTCGGCGAAGCTGTTGACAATCGTATTCTCTTCTTTGTAGTCAAAGCGTCTTCAACCATGTCATATGCACTGTCCAGAACAGTCTCAACTGCAGAAATTATTGGAGGATTCACATAAATCACTTTTTTCCTCTTTGCATGGTTTGTCGTCAAAAGAGGTGGTCTTGCAGATGTTGTAAAACGCATCAGAGGTGTTCTCTTAGTTGAAGAACTTGCAGAACTTTGCTGTGTGACTGGCAAAAGCTTCGTTGTGGATTTACTAACCAAAGTGCAGTTGAATGAATAAAGATCACCAGTAGAATTCCCATTTTCACTAACTTCATTGCTGATTTCTGAGTGTTTGCCGCCCGTAGTATTGGGATTAAATGCAACCAATTCCCATGATTGTGATTGATAATTCTGCGAATGGTTTGGCTTGGGAGTTGTTCTTCTCAGTAAATTTTGGTAAAAATTATGCTTCGTCACTAAAATATCACTGTAATTCCTGTTTCCTGGTACTTTCTGCACAACAATCCGATCACAGAGGGTCAAATTCACTAAACAACCAAATAAAACTAGTGTAAAATACAAATATATCCTTTTCGTCATCGCAAACAACAAAACATTTACTCGATCTTCACAGAACAATGTCTCGAGGGAGATTAAAGAAATATCGCCAGTGCTGTGCTGCTTTTTCAACTAGTTGAGCGCATAAAGGGGATAAATTGACGGTATAGCATAGTGAAATTGTCTCAGAAGGAGGATCATCGCAAATTGATATTTATTACGCTTCAAATGACTAGCTAATTGAATGTTATGTCAATTTCAAGACTACATTTACATTTGATTACCTCACATATCAATTCGTGGTGAGTCGAAAAAGCAAGCGATTCACTTTCCAGTCCACTTACTGACCAGAATTCTCATTTAATATCACTTAACTGAATATATAGGGCTTGGAAATTACACTGCAACTTGACTCTTGATTCATTTCTCTGTACAAAACACCAAACATGATTGTCTTCGTGTCTCTTCTCAACAACATCACAAATATATGCAATCACAAGATCACAAAGTCTAGACATTAATTCAGCGAATATTTCGAGGATTAATCATCACACTTTGTCTTCCACATTGTCTGAGTGTTTCTTAAGTGGTCAAGAGAAGGTGAGAAATGCTTTTGGATGAGCTTTAAAATTCCGTTAAGATGTCAACTCTTCCAATAAATCGAACGCGTGTAAATATACATTGACTTTATCAGATTGCAGTGTATCAAGTGCACTTCATAGCGAGTTACAGATTATTTGTGCTACTACGAATTCTTCTGACATATATTTGGAAAAACATGTGACCTTTTCTCGCCAAGATCACTGATAGTGTGCTATAATTTTTTTTTTAATATGATGACGAAAATGTGTTCAAACCAGAACCAGCTTTACAAGTAAAAACCGTGACTTCCTTTTCTGTCTCTCAATATAACGTCAAATGAAAATTCTTTGCTCATTTCGCAAATACTTAAGATTTTAATTATTTAGTAAGTATCTTTTATATTTGATTCTAACTCATTTCAGGCGTAATTTCACAGCGTCGTACAACAAAGAATAGAATAAAATAAATTGTGGGAAATGTGACAAAAACAGTCATTGGTCATGCAAAAGAACACATATTTCAATGCTTTTTATCTTGCGATCTGTGATGCATATTGGTGGAAATTACAGGAAATTCAACCTCCTCCCGCCACAAATTCACAAAGAGCGTCTCTCTCTCTCTCCACTTTATGTCTCTCTCCTCTCATTTCCCGTCTCTCTTTGTCATAGCCTTTCATCTTTCCCGATACTTCGCCGAGAGACGCGCAATGATCGCGGCGAACACATGTGAGTCTCTCCGACTTCTCCACCTTCATTCAGTCTTCCTCCTTCAGTCGATCGCACTTGACCGTCTGAAGAGTTCTCTCTCTCTCGCCACAAGTGATCATATCGCACAGATCTTGAATGTGACCCGAGATAGCCGCTAAATAGTAATTCGCGAAAAAAAGCACACGTTTCAGCGAATTATCTCATTGAGGAAAGTGCCATTTGCATTTTCTGCGATTAACACGGCAATTATTGTGTTAAAAGTTCAGTGAAAAATTGACAAGAATAACTTCTTATATCCACATCAACTTGTTGAATTCCAATTGACACGCACACACGCACGCTCATTCACAAGCTCACTGAGGAATTTCCCACTGAGTGCCGCTCAATCGCCGAATGCCGACTGACGGTTAAGAAAAAGCAATTATCCGTGCATTTTTCAATTGGTAAATTAGTTAAACACAGCCGCAGATCTAATATTTATCTTGTTTCGTGCTTTATGAACTTGAACATGAGATAAGATGAACTTCAATTGAATCATCCCACAGTCAGTGTCTCACCAGAGAGCAATAATAAAGTATCGTGCGTTCAATACAATAGGAGCATAAAATACTTTTTATCACATCACTCTTGAGACTTTTTGAGTAAAACAGTGGCCTTTATATTTCGTGCTAAACACACACACTTAGCACATTAAGATTAAGTACTATAGAGCAAATAGACGGATTTACCAGTGTGTTTTGCTAAAAAAAACCAATTAAGTGATAAAGTACAAACAAACAACTGCATTCCGTCTGATAAATTGGTCAATATCAGATTTTACCTCGACATTGCGATAAATTTGCATAAAAATAAACAAGTGGCAGTGAAGGTGTTGCAAAAGCCATATGATTTGTAGGCGAATCGTGAATAAAAGTGCAGAGAAAATATGGATATAGCAGAGACGAGCTTAAATACCAACAGCACAGATAAACATGGTAATTGTGACAATCATAGAGAATAAGATAAAAGCTTATACCGAAGGAATATTCCATCTCAAGTGTTTTATAGTCTCATTCAACTGGCTCAAAACTGATTGCGTATATATAGAACTCCCACTAAAAAGAGTGAATCTTGTAGGAAAGTATTTCTCTGGCAACGTTTCAAATGCCACAACGCATTCGCACAAAAGCGCTGAACAAAAGGAAATACAATCGCTGGCAAGAGATCTTGTTTTGGGAAATGCTACTTCCTTCTGTTTTGCATTCAAAAGTTGTGGGTGAAAGAGAATCAAGAAGAATTTCATACAGTCAACAGTAAATTTCTGGGACTCACCAGTCAATTGTTTTGTAGACGCTGAAGCTCCGGGTACGCAGAAGAAACTGGAGAATGGTCAGAATGGCCAGGCAGTGGTTGAGGAGGCGCCAAATGCTCACACCATGTCATACATCGAGACAATTGTCCACGTCTTCAAGGGAAACATCGGTCCAGGGCTCTTTGCAATGGGAGATGCCATGAAGAACGCAGGTTTAATTCTTGGACCAGTTCTCACCATTATCATTGGCATTGTCTGCGTCCACTGTCAGCATCTCCTGCTGCAGTGCTCCAAGAAGATGCGCAACAAGGCCAACATGAAGAGCTACCCAGATTTCGCACGCACTGTGGAGCTCTGCTTTGAAAATGGACCACCAAGATTGAGGCAATGGTCCAAGACGATGAGGATCATCGTCAACGTGTTCCTCTGCGTCACTCAGTTGGGATTTTGCTGTGTGTATTTTGTCTTCGTCAGCACCAATCTGCAGCAGGTTTGTCTCAAATTTCAATGTGCTTCACATTTTCCACTTTCCACTCACATTCTGTGATTTTTGTCCCTCTTGCAGATCTGGAATCAGTACGGAATCGTCATCAACGACTATCTGAACCTTCTACTCATTTGTGCACCAATCCTTCTGACCAGTCTTATCACCAATCTCAAGTTTTTGGCGCCCTGCTCCGTTCTGGCCAGCGCTTTTATGCTCATCGGCACTGGAATCACTCTCTACTTCTCTGTGGACAGTCTTCCCAGTCCATCTGAGAGGAATTATGTGTCCTCATTGGAAACCATGCCACTCTTCTTCGGCACGACTCTTTTCGCCTTCGAGGGCATCAGCCTGGTGCTTCCACTGCAAAATGCCATGAAGGTTCCGAGGAATTTCCATCGCCGTGCAGGTGTGCTCAACGTAGGAATGGTATTCGTCACATTCCTCTTCACGGGCCTCGGTTTTCTCGGCTACCTCAAGTACGGCGAGGACGTTGAGGGGAGTTTGACTCTGAATCTCCCTCAGGATGATCCTCTGGCACAATCTGTGAAGATTCTCATCTCTCTGGGAGTTTTGCTGGGATACGCTCTGCAGTTCTTCATCGCCATTCAGATCATGTGGCCAGGAATTGAAGAGAAACTTGGCCCATTCTCATATCCGCTCGTCGGCGAATTTATCTTCAGAACTTTCATGGTTTTCGTTACACGTAAGAACACTGATTGATTACTGAAACATGATTTCATGTTTCATCGAAATGTTTCATCTCATCAACACAATGATTGTTCTGTTCCTTCAGTGGCCATTGCAATGACTGTGCCGAAGCTGAGTCTCTTCATATCTCTAAACGGAGCCCTCTGTTCCACTGCCCTGGCACTTGTCTTTCCACCCTTCATCGAGCTTGTGGTGACTTGGGAAGAGAGCAAAGGTCCGGGAGCTGCAATACTCTTGAAGAATTCCACCATCATGATCATCGCGTTGCTGGGCTTCATCACGGGCAGCTATGAGAGTTTAGCACAAATAATCCGGGAGTTCTCCAGTTAAACGCCATAAATCTCTGACTCACTCACAAGATCACGTGTTCACGGTATAGAATAAAATAGTTTTTTAAGAAATCCCACGGGAATTTCTTCCGCTGCAAATTCAAAGCACAAACTGCAGTAATGCGAACTCACAGCACAACTACTAGAAAGTCCGGAAAAATGTCAGTGAACATTCGGGCGTGTATACAAATAATGCACTTTTTGCGAGGCAATTTATTGTAAAATTAACGATACTCTAATGTAAATTCAGGTGGGAATGTCAAGCAGGTGAGTGATACATTCAGAAACTGCATACAAACGTATTTTTCAATGCTATACAATAAAGTGGAAACGTTTTTATCTTCGTAGTTCAACAGCACACAAGCAGTATTGGAGATACCAAAAACATCTACATTTGAGGCCGTTCAGTATTATTTTCGCTGTCAATTGCTGACCCCACAGATCATCCGCATTATCAGTGTGTGACCAGCTGAGTTGGCAGTTGTCTGGAATCGAAACTCTGTGTGATAACAAGACATCGAGAGGCTCTGGAAATTTCTGTTTGATAACCCATCCAAAAGAGGATTCCCGGACGTAATTTTGACCTCACGTGAATAGCCCATGGAGCCTGAAGTTCCTCACATTCCTGTGATCATTCACGAGACAGCACTTCTCGATGGGGCACGCAAGATCCTGGATAACATTCGGCCCCAATGGAGCCCAGAAAATGTGGAATTCAAGGTATTTCGCGAGGTCGTCCAGCTTCAATTGGATTGACCTCATTGAAGCCACTCCCCATTCAACTTCTGACCTCTCCGCGTGCTTTGCAGCTCTTCACGGATGGCATCACTAATAAACTCGTAGGATGCTTCCATCGGACTACCGAAGATGCCATTTTGATCAGGATCTACGGCAATAAGACAGACCTTCTGATCGACAGGACGGCGGAGACAAGGAACATCAAGCTGTTGTTCAGCTATGGCTTCGCTCCTTGTCTCTACGCCACATTCGACAATGGCCTGGCTTATGAGTATGTCGCAGGAGTCACGCTGACTCCCGAAAGCGTCGTCAATGCGGCTGTTTGGCCGTTGGTGGCCAGGAAAATGGCGCAAATGCATAAAGTAGACTGTGGAAAGGACATTCCGAGGAAGCCAATGCTGAGAAAGAAGTTTCAACAATTCTTAAACCTGATTCCAGATAAGTTTAGCCGACCGGAGATCCACGAGAGGTGAGAAAGATTGATGATTGAAGGATTGAGCGCCTTAAATGATTTTATCTTGCATGTCAAGTATGCCAATCATTTGAGAGTGAAATCTTTTATCACTGTCTCGAGACCTGTTATCAGTACGCTTATTTGCTGTTTGAATTAAGCTTGCATTTATGCTTAGTTTACAGTAAATAAAATAAGAATACGGCAAACAAAGTGAATAATCTCTGGCAAAGCGAGATGCACCTCATTCCTCAAATATGTTACAAAAGTATTTGCGCGTAACCCACGTAATCATTAGACTTGTACGTTGTATAATGAAATATAATCGTTTTTTCTCTCTCTCTCTTCATTTTAGGGTCAAGGATGAATTTCTACCCGTCTCTAAACTCCGCAGAGAAGTTGAGCAATTATGTGATGTTCTGGAAAATCTGGGCAGTCCTGTTGTGTTTGCCCACAATGATCTGCTTCTGGGCAATGTGATTTACACAGAATCTGCCCAGAAAGTCACATTTATCGACTATGAATATGCGGCCTACAATTTCCAGGCATTCGACATTGGAAATCACTTCACGGAATTTGCTGGAATTGACGAAATCGACTACTCGCGGTATCCGTCGCGAGATTTACAAATGCAGTGGCTGAGAGTTTATTTGGAAACCTTCATGCATCCGCAAAATGTCAGTGACACCGATCTGGAGCGCCTCTACGTCCAAGTAAATCAATTTGCCCTGGCGTCGCATCTCTTCTGGACTGTTTGGGCCCTGATTCAAGCTGAACATTCCACGATAGAGTTTGACTTTGTGCAATTTGCCCAGATTCGTCATGGAGAGTATTTGGCAAGGAAGGACAGCTTCCTGGCACTGTCCTTTGAGAATTGACCGTGCACAAAGAACATTCCGATACCACTCACGGTTTTAGTTGCAACATGACCAAATGGAAAATATTTTTTTAGTGATGAAATTTTAGGCACGACTCTCGACTTATCTTACCTTCTTACCTGAGGCTTTTACCAAGTGAAAAAAAAATAATAGTAAATTTTAATAAAATGCAATAAAGGAGATGTTTGAGTTTGTTTTGAGTGGAAAATGCATGGAAAATGTCCTGCGGAGGGAAATTTCCATGAGGCATGCGTGTGCATTTTGGGACGTGTGCTAATCGATAATTTCCCCAAATGGAAAATCCGTCAAAAGGATAGGGACACCCATCGCAAAACATTTTCTTCCCTCGAGCACGGAGTTGAAGGAGAAAGAGGAAAATTGAACGTTTAAGCAATTTCTCAGTGGTAAAGTGTTGGTTGTACTAGGATTAAGGTTGTTTTACAGGCAGGCAATACGATTTTCAATGTCTGCGACAAGTCAAGAATGGTAAGTGGAGTGACTTGAAGAAAAGGCGTTTCCCTCGGTCGGAAAAATCAGTGTTTTTCCCACTTTTCGCAGATTTTCCTCAGTTTAATGTGAAATTTGCGACAATACTGTGCTGAATTGTTTCCAATTTGATCATGTTTCACTTGCTCAAATCACTGCGTCTTCTCTCCTGGACTTCCCTCCTCCTCGTCTCCGTTTCTCTGCTCAAGTTCGGTAAGTCAATTAGCCCCCCAAAGAAAGATGGGGATCCATTTCACCACTGAGGCTCACCCCATCTCATGCACCCACAGCCAATAGTTCGGAGGATGAGGAGAGACTGGTGCGTGATCTCTTCCGTGGCTACAACAAACTCATCCGCCCTGTGCAGAACATGACACAGAAGGTGGACGTCCGCTTCGGGCTGGCCTTCGTGCAGCTCATTAACGTGAACGAGAAGAATCAAATCATGAAATCGAACGTGTGGCTCCGACTCGTCTGGAGTGACTACCAACTGCAGTGGGACGAGGCGGACTACGGTGGCATTGGGGTGCTGCGCCTGCCCCCAGACAAGGTCTGGAAGCCAGATATCGTGCTCTTCAACAAGTAAGCATACATCTCAATTCTCCTTGTACATCTTCAAGTGCAAATGAGTGAGAATTTTTTGGGTGGAAAATGCGCATTTGCTTCTTCTGCCCAAGACGCGTGCATCAATTGCCAATTTATAGGGCGTCACATAAATTTTCAACAGAGTGTTCCATCGTAAATATTTTACGGTTACTCACATTTGTTTTATTATATCGATTTCAAGATACGAAGAAAGCAATCTTCAATAATATCAGTCAGGAAATACATAAAATTCCCATTGAGAATTGTTCAATGCATTTAATCACACTATAAGCTTTCAGAGATAAAAGAAGTCCATTTTATGGCCCGCAGATAGTGATGAGATGTTTTTTTTTCAATTTGTGCAGCAAAAATATTTGATTCAGCTCATTAATGCAGTTTTCGTTCTGTTCTCACCATTTATTTTACATGTTGTAATTAGTCTCATTTGCATTGCAAATGTATTCAATCGATAAAATTACGCAAAGGGGGTGGATTAAAGTAAATTTAAATGAACTTATCCTGACACTAAATTCTCTTTTCCAGTGCTGATGGCAACTACGAAGTCCGCTACAAATCCAACGTGCTCATTTACCCAAACGGCGAGGTTCTGTGGGTTCCTCCGGCTATCTATCAGAGCTCCTGCACCATCGACGTCACGTACTTCCCGTTCGACCAGCAGACATGCATTATGAAGTTCGGCTCGTGGACCTTCAACGGTGATCAAGTCTCGCTGGCGCTATACAACAACAAGAACTTCGTGGACTTGTCGGATTACTGGAAGTCAGGCACGTGGGACATCATCGAGGTGCCGGCGTACTTGAATGTCTACCAAGGCAACGGCAATCATCCCACTGAGACAGACATCACATTCTACATCATCATCCGGCGCAAGACTCTCTTCTACACGGTCAACTTGATCCTGCCCACGGTGCTCATCTCCTTCCTGTGCGTCCTCGTGTTCTACCTGCCCGCGGAGGCGGGCGAGAAGGTCACACTTGGTATCAGTATTCTCCTCTCACTGGTTGTGTTCCTCCTGCTGGTGTCGAAGATTCTGCCGCCGACATCTCTGGTGCTTCCGCTGATTGCCAAGTACCTCCTCTTCACCTTCATCATGAACACCGTGTCCATTCTCGTCACTGTGATCATCATCAACTGGAACTTCCGTGGCCCGCGCACCCACCGCATGCCCATGTACATCCGCACCGTCTTCCTGCACTATCTGCCCGCTCTGCTGCTCATGAAGCGCCCCCGCAAGACTCGCCTGCGCTGGATGATGGAGATGCCCGGCATGAGTGTTCCGCCGCACCAGCATCCCTCCTACGGCTCACCCACTGAGATTCCCAAGCATCTGAGCGCCATCGGAGCGGCCAAGCAGGCCAAGATGGAGGTGATGGAGCTCTCAGACCTGCACCATCCCAACTGCAAGATCAATCGCAAAATGAACACGGGACCCGAGCTCGGTACCCTCGGGGATCCATGTCGCCGGGAGAGCGAGAGCTCTGACTCCATCCTCCTGTCGCCGGAGGCCAGCAAAGCCACGGAAGCTGTCGAATTTATCGCTGAGCATCTCAGGAATGAGGATTTGTACATTCAAGTGAGTTTCGCTTTCCCTCAAATATTTGCCACATTCATTTTCAACTCTCCACCCAGTCACATTCCACAATGAACAGTAAATTGTATCTCGCTTCTTCAAGTCTGGCGAAAGTCGCTCCTTTCAATTTGTCCCGAGTAAACATCTAGAATTCCTGTTTGCTCTACATTTCGCGCGAGAGAATGAAAAGTTTTCACATTATTTGCCACAGAAGCTCAATTTTCTTTTCACCAATCTTGCAGACGCGAGAAGACTGGAAGTACGTGGCGATGGTGATTGATCGTCTGCAGCTCTACATCTTCTTCATAGTCACAACAGTGGGCACCGTGGGCATCCTCATGGACGCACCCCACATATTTGAGTATGTAGATCAAGATCGCATCATTGAAATCTATCGTGGCAAGTAAGATTCTCACGAGAGAGGCAGAAAAAAAGTAATGGAAAATACCAATTACAGTAGAAATACGAAAAAAACACGTGTTATGAAGCAGTTAACGATCAATGAACAGTTAAAAAATATCATGATAAAAATATATAGTAAAAAGTGGATAAGAAGTTTTGTTGGATATTTTATGAGCGACGCTTTTCATGAGCCTGCAACACTTTCACTTCCCCAAAAGACACACACATACACACCTTAATAAAATGCTCTTCCAAAAAGAATAGATTGAGAAATAAATAAACAAGCAGATAATTAGATAAAATTATTGAAAAAGAAGGAAAGAGGTAAATATTAAATATTGAACGAATATTAAAGTGAAGATGAACTCCCTTCGTAGAGTTAGTGATTTTTATCAAAGGACATCTTTTCAAAATAATCATTAGTTTTCTTGTTATCAATATAATGCAAGGTCTGTCCAGGGTCAAATAGTCTCTGTCGCAGTCGATTCAGGCCAGATCGTGTGCAGCATAAATTCTTCCAACGAAAATCCTTGTGATTTATTTGCGACGAAATTTGCCAAAAAATGTATTTTCTAAGAGTGGTTCTGCATTCAAAGACGTTTTTTCTATAGAATTCTTCTTATGACTTTTACCAAAAAGGCAAAATGTAACTCTTTTGCTCATTTGATGTGTGTTCAAGTACCCCCTTTTTAGCGATGAGGAAATACTATGAAAAAAATAATGAATTTTGAACCAATGAGTATGTGTTGAACATGAGACAAGATTGCACAATAATCTCCCTAGCGAATTGATTGTTAAGAACATGAAAACAAGTAAAGAATATTAAATAATGAAACCCATACGTATGTGAAAGGAAGTATTTAGTGGATGGTGGTAAAAGATATTTATGAAATAATCTGAGATTTTATATACACAAAACACTTTGTTCTTCACTCACAGATCTTTGAGTTTTTCGATTTATCACTTGAGATTTTATATAGTTTTTTTTCTGAAATTGTTGTATAAAAAAAACTACTAAAACTCAGAGAAGAATTTGTTGAGAATAATATTACCAAAATGGAAAAGGAAACTGAGGTTGAAAAAAGACATCAAGAGCATGATGAGATTCTCCAATGAGAAAATAGTTAAATGTAACAAGTTAACGTTTAAAGTTTCTTTTTTTGTACTTTTCCACAGATATTGAAAGAAAATCGTAATTATGAATTTAATGAGAAAAATGTAACTAATTTATTGGCACGAGAAAAATGTTAGAGAAATAAAATACTTGGAATTGAAAAGAAAAAAAAAAAGAATTTCTGTATATTTTCTCACACAAAAAATCATTGTCACATTTTAATTCCTCCACTAGATTTTCCGGTTTCCTATCCTCTCGGCGAATCCCTGATTTGTACTCACGTCCTTCTGTCGTTGCATCTTCTGTTGAGCCCGCTGTTCCCGTCGCTTCTCGCGGATCAGCCGCGAGGCATCCTCGTTCACCTCCTCCCAGCCTGACTTTGAGTCGTCCACCCAGTCTTCGAGTTCTGCAGCATACGGAATGGTGGCATCGCTGGCGGCTGTGAGTCTGGAGAAGTTCTTCTCCGGCTCCTTGTCTGTCCTTATAAGTACTTTGGTTTGCCTCACAACTTTGGGTTCCATGTCCTGGAAGAAAGTTAAGTATTTTATGACTGTTCTCATTTTTTTTTTATAAGGACTTCAGCGATTTGTCCTGCCGAATTTGAGGTGTCTGGTATTTTTACACGTGATAGTAAAAGTCTCACCCCAAAGAAGTCAATCTCCGGTTCCCTCTCGCCCTGATCATCAGCCTTTCGCGACAGCTTCTGCCTGTATACTTCAATGTGCTCTTCCACGGTCCTCGGAGTGTCATCCCAAGTGTTCCAATCTCTCTCCGGCTGCCGACAAATTAAGATAATCATATCTCTTCTGTCAAGAATCAGACTCTGATGTTTACCTCATTTTTCGTTCTTGCGCCTCTGTGGCTCGTCACAACGCTAACAGTCTGCAGATCCTCATCGCCACAGTCCAGGGATTGTCCTCGGCGCCTGGAGAGACACAGAGCACGTCTGAAGAGGCTCAAAATCCCCAAAAACAGACCCTTGAGCTTCACAAACACACAACTAATCATCTTCATTCAATCTCTCTCACTGCCTTTCATCGACGTCAAACAGTGCTTCATCGACTATATCACACTCCCTAGCGAAGACTCAAACTACATTTCGATAAGATTTTCATCTTGAAAATTCAATCTGTTCACTCTCCAAAATATTGTTCAAAGTCATAAAAGTTTTTCATCATACTCGAAAAGACAAAAAACGTATAGGAAAGTGCACAGAAAAGACATAACAATATTAATTAACTTTACGATGGCATGAGAAGAATATTTTCACGAGATTCTCATTACGAATCATTAAGCACATAGAAAATTACCTTTAAAACAATAGGACGAAGTATGAAAAAATCGTGGTTTGAATTTTTCCCCAAACACCCAAAGTGAGAAGGGAAGCATTAAATGAAGAGCAACCAAGTGGGAAAGTTCACCGTGAAACACCGCGCATTTTTTCCCCAGCAGCCAAAAGACCTCTGTGAGCTGTGCGAATTTAGAGCGTAAAAGTTTGATAATTTGTTTTTCTTTTATTTTTCACTCACCCACGCCTGGGACTTTTTTCTCACAATTAAACTGACCCTATGAGTGAAACCCTTTGGTTTTCTCTTCTTTCACCTCTTCTGGCTCATTTTCCTCCGTCTCCACATTGAAAGAAGACTCGTCATTTCGACTAATGGAATAAGGCGTGAAAAAGTTTGAATCTTATCGGAAAAAGACACCCGTGGAGTGAATTTTCGACACAGAGTCACAGATATATATATATTTGAGTATAAAACTTTTCTTCAAATTGCGAGACTCAGAGGCTCACAACTTATTGAGACAGAGAATTTTTGCAAGGAATGAAAGGCGTGGTCTCTCAAGAGGCGGAGATTTGGAGTGGGCGGGGCCTTGTTTTGGTTATCTTCTCCTCAAGTTCCATTGTAGAAAAAAACAGGTTTGTTTTCTTGTGAAAGTAACTACCCCTTATGGTGAAAAACTTCGAGACTTTCTGGCACCATGCTCGATGTGTGAGATACAGCGAAAAAGGCGTGAGCTCAGGGTGCTTAAGCGTCTTATTAATTCTGGAGATTATCACAGCGAAGAGCTCCTCGAGTTTGCCAGGGACTTTATGATTGATGCAAAATATCGCGAGACTCTTGAGAGATTTGGCATGCTTGACAAATAAATCATTAAACATCCGCAATCATGCGAGTGGTTACTGAAATTCTCTCAATAATTCACGCATTCTTCGCACTTGAGAACTCCAACGGAGTGCTGAGACCCTCGGGAAGAAGTGTGATTTGCTTGGCAGGTCGAAAAGGTGTGCTTTTCTACGTGGAATCTCTCGTGCGTCTCATTGGAGGCTGTAAATTCATCACACATTTGATGTATTTTATATGAGACATTTGTACCTTGTGCCCTGTCTCGGGCTGGTGTGCTTTTGATTCGGATGAATAAAGCTGTTGCCTCTTTTTTCCACCCTTAAGCCACGCTGCGAGACAACATTTGCGCTGGATGAGTCGCGAGGGTTTGGGCGAGGGACCATTAGCAGGAAAAAAGGAAGCTCTTTGCGCCTTCACCGGCATTATTCAAACATGTTCTTTCACTCAACACCCCCGCCAACCCCTCGAAAGTGGCTGGAATCACGCTTCGGAGAAGACGTAAAAGACAGTCTACGACATCATTTGTATCTGTCGACGAACACATGCAAATTAAATTCACTTCCGACATGGTGAGACAAGAAGGGAAAGTCATCAGGTCAAACTAATTTTTTCGCTCTCTCTGTCGCACTTCGCTAAGCCTTCGCGGCTGAGAGGAGAATAAGAAAGGGAATAAGAGCTTTTGAGAATGAGAAATGCCTTCAACGCATGTTCAATATCAAGAAACTCCTTAGAGGAATCGAGCCTAATTGAGAAGCCCTCGGGGAGTCCAAATTTATCACAGAAGGTACGCAAATTCATGGAGGAGTTCTTCAATTCCTTTTCACTCTCAATGAAGGAAAATATTCCACAGATGTGCCCTTGAAGATTGAAAATTAAGGAAAATTCCCACGGTTGAATTTCGTCTTTAAGCTTGATTTTTCAATCAAAACAGATTGATCATTTTTCTTCCTGTCGAATAAGCAGAAAAACCTCAGGAGGAGTCAGACTACAATATTTGGGACGGACGATTTCTCAGTCGATCCTTTTTTGCCTCTACCAGGAATTTAAATGAGGTTATTGAGACATTATTGGGGGAAATTCAAATGTGCTGAATCGCCCTAAACCAGAGCGATGATGTTATTCTGATCAGCCAGTAACTTTATTTCTTCGTTTTGTGTGGAGATTCACCACGCAGAGGAGATAAGAATAATTCCCCAAATGTTGAATGAAATTAGCCTCAACCCAACCACAATTTGGAAGGAAAATCAGATTTTTTGCAATATTTATTTTTTATTTTTCAAGAATTATTTTTGGTATTGAACAACCTCTCGATTGGAAACATCATTTTTCATGGGAACTGAAAAGTTACGAGGAAAATGCTTCCTGACAAGAGATTATGACGCGCGGAACGCCTGACAAATTCACTTCCTGCCGAAAATATCCACTCGAGTGGAGAAAAAAATACCAGACATAATTCAATTTGTTAATTAAACAATTTTCCACAGCAACAATTTGTGATAATGAAGCAAAGTTGTAGCTTATGCTGAAATGCAAATGTCGGGCAATTGATTTAAATGTTTCTGCCAAAGTTCGAAAATCTATTTAATGATATTCGCCCACGGCGAGCAATCATGCCAGCAATAACCTCATTTCTCTTGATTTTTAATTTCATTTTCCATTTCATTAATTCCCTCTAGAATATTTTGCTGTGTCGCTCACAGTGACAGTCTCTGCGGTTAGACCATTTACATTTTTCTGCTTATTCCGCTCATTATTGTTCGCATTATTTTTCCCTTCTCAAGAGTCTCTAGAATGGGTCTTATGCGCATAACTTTAATATGAAATCTTATAATGAAGACAGAAAGAAGTCCAACATCAATAAATTTTCGCTTTCAGTGTTGATTTTCCAAATCCACATCACATTTATTCAAATTAACATATGATATGAAAGTTATTTTCCGTGACCTTTCACAACTCTGTGCGGAAAATCCATCGCAAGAGAGATATTTTTTGTGGAACTTTCAAACTTTCCACTATCTCTATTGAAGTAAATATATTGAGTGAAAACTATTGAGATAACTTGCTCAAATTTACCATTAGAGTTCACCCAGCAAATGGAGTTATAATTCGCAGTGGGGAAAATGAAAATGGAAATCCTTGGAAGAACAAGAATGAATTATCGTGGGCTGAAGGAGAAGGATGAAAAACATCATCAATAATTTCTCGCTATTTAATGTAATTACCGTTGGTAGTCAAGTTGGTAGTATTAGCGGTTTGTGGGGTGAAAATGAACGCGAGAGTGTCTTGTGGTGGAGGATGGAAGGAAATTGAGGTGATATTGATTTAGTGCTCTTTATGGAAAATGGGCATTACATTTTAAGTACTCCCAAAGCCCACAGCGCGGGTAAATGTGTAAACATGAGAGATATCGGTGATCAAAAGTTTTACACAAAACGGAAAGAATATAATCTTTAAAATTGACATGCTTTCAATTACGTTCACATTAATAATGGTAATTGTCGCATATTCTCTCATTACATGTAATATCGCCGTGGCTTGAAAGAAACCTGTCAATCATCTCTTGAAGGAAAAACCCCAATGTTAAAAAATGATGCGATTTTGTGTCAGGCTTCAATCGACCCTCTGTTGTAGCAAATTCTACTCTATTTTTGGACATTTTTCCATTCGAAAGTTTGCTGGCGCAGCAAAAGCTGAACACTTTACACGTTTTCCCCTCAATTTCCGGGAAGTCACATCAATCTGCCATCCAGCCAGTGGAAAATGGAGAAGGGTCATTTCTACGATGGAAAACATTTGTGACAAAGTCCATCGAGCTTTTTCACGCACTCTCTTTCTCTCTCTTCGAGACAATGCCATTAGCGCGAGAAAGTTGACTCTCGCAATTCTAAAAGTCGGCCCAAATTCCATGCCATTGCTTCCCGGAGTGTGTCAACTGCTGGGTTCAACCCCTGAAATCCAGCACCAATCAATGGAGCAACGCATTTCCATCGCGGCTGCTAGGGTAAGAAATCTATAGAGCGCGGGTCGCTAAATCTGAATTTTCCTCGGCACTTGGGATTTTCCCATGTCACCACCCGATGGGGTGGTGAAGAGAACCCGTTTGAATTTCCCTTCGTCGTCACCATAGCATTTTTATTGTGCGAAAAATTCAATGAATATTTCCAAGTAATAAATTTATTCAGCGAATATTCCTCACACGCAAACCCTGATGAAAATCCACTGATATGCGAAAGGATAATTAAATCTCTTTATTTTGCATATCTCATCACTTTTCTCTCACATTGTTATCTACTGATATGCTCGAAAAGAAGGAACAAGACCCAAATATTTACTTAAGTTTCCACAAAGGGCCATTTCTGCCGTTCACAATTCAACAAGTGCTTCTTCTACTTACTTTTCGGCCATAGTAGTACTTCAAACAATTCCAAAACTCGTGTTGTGTATTGACTTTTTCTCACCCGCAAGAGAGGAGCAAAGAAAGGGAATAAGAGATACAGTTCCACCCCTACTTTTGCCATCGAACTTTTTGGTTCTCATTGTGAATTTCAATTTGGTAAATGAGGAAGAAAGGAAAGAGGAGCATCTTTTATCATTTTTCATCGAAAATTGAGTGAGAAGAAGATGTCCTTGTGTGGGGGAAACTGTGAAGGCCTCTTCACACTGTAAGGCAAATAACAAATATTGACAATCTTTCAATTCAATACATTGACTTCTTGGCCTCTTGCATTCTCCCATTATCAACTTGAACTTTATAGTTTTCGATTGTGAGCTTTAAGAACGTTCTCGTGTTTTGGAGATTTTCAGTTTAAATATTTTTCCATTGTGTGACGGAGAATGAAATTTTCATAGTGAATGACGTAAGCTTTTCAGCATCTCATTGTTAACGGGGCTGTATATTCATTTTTAGAGTTAGCCCATGA